TTCAGCTAAGTGGCAACAAAGAGGAGGAGCAACCCAGGAATGCCATAAAATTAAGCAACAGACATGGAAGCCAGTGCCTGTAGGATGACGTGCAATCAGATATGCTTGCTGCCTCTTAGTCACAAGTCACATGTTAAGATTTTATTTTCCAAACGAATCCTGACCTGCTTCCCAGCCATGTTTCTGAGACCATCCAGACAAGTTTACACCAACTCTCTCCCCTTTTCGAGAAGAGTGCTTTTCAGTTTGGCTTTTCTCTTCCACCCTCCCTTCCTGCTCTTTCTCACAGTGGTGTCAGCAATAGAAGTTTGGATAGTGTTCTAATCGATGTGGTATAATTTGGGGTGGGAAATATGGTCATAACCATAGAATTATGGGCACAGGCATTTTTCTTTCATGTCATCATCTCCTATCAAGTTCTCCTTTTCCATTTGGTTGTAATTCCCACCAAGTTGTAGATTTGCAAAAGTGAGCCAGGAAAAATACCAGCGGTAATGAGAGGAAAGAAATGCTGGGGTGGGACTTTTCTCTGCCCAAGGACTTTGTGATGTGATTGTTGCATTGTTTTTACCTGAAACAAGCGGTGTTTAGTTGGCAAGCCCCCACTGATAAGGAATGTATGTGTCAACCCTCTTAGACTTTTACTTTCCATGCATATGTGTCTTCCACAGTTCTCAATTTCTTTTTCTGCATTTGTGAGTGTGTTAAAATATGTCACTAAATGTATACCTTCTGGATGGTGGCTTATGTTGCTAAGCATTCGATTACCACATGGAAAGGCAGGTACTGTGTGATATCAAGTGAAGACATTCACATGGCTGGTAGTGACCTTGCTCTTGATCACTCATTCAGCAAGTGCCCCTGCTATTGGGACTCAGTCCATGTCCACGTTATACTTCATTTGTTCAGTTAATTCAAAATATAATGCATGACTTCCAGGCACAGTGCTAGAGCTGGGATTACTGCAGTGAGCAATCAGAAAACAAAATCCCTTAAGAATGCTACACCATCTTAGTGGAGTGTGGGAGGAGACAACATGCAAAATAAACCCATTACATAGTTATATTAGAAAGTTTCCAATACTATGGGAAAAACAGAGCAAGGATGGGTGTAGCAAATGCTAGGGTGTTGAGGACAAGTTTCAATTTTAAACAATGCTCAGATTGAGAAGGTGATATTGAGCAAAGCTGGAGAGGGGGAGTGAACCTCTCCCTAAGCAGTATTGCTCTTGGTCTGCCATGGGCCAGAAACCTTAGTTAGTCTCCCCACATAAAAGTTCTCATAGCTGCTTAACGCCAATATCATATCCATGTTGGCTATTTAAGTAGTTTTACAATGGCTCTTCCTGCCTGCAGCTCCCTACCATTTCCTTTTATCAGTGTGTCTGGTGATAGTTTCTGCATCCAAAGCATCTGATATTCTTCAGAGACAAAGTCCACCCCAGGCGTGTTTTCATATGTGTCGCTCCAGAAATGAGTTTTGCTGATCTCCAGAAGAATACTCCTATAGCGTCATCTCATTCTTATCACTCACTTGTTTCTGCTGGCTACATGAGTCAAGATCTTTGACACTTCAGAAACCGAGATGGGGAAATAAGATCCACTGAGAATCTAGATAAGAATTTATTGCCTTTCTAATCAAGGAGATCAGAAACTGTGGTTATGCCCAAGCACTTTGATTAAAGGCTGTCATATATTCCTGGAGGCATACTCAGACTGATGGAAGGCTTCCCAGGGTATTTATTGGTACGTTTTTCTAAGCACATTATCCCTGTAGGAGCAGTTAAATTTGTCTTCCTTTTGTGGGTATCCATTTATATTGAGGGAATGATGGTTCCTGATAAAGTCTCTGTTTTGGGGGTTGGAAACCTTTTGTGCTGATTCTGGGAGCCCTAAAAATCCAGATGCCTTCAACAGGTCACTTGTGACAGATTTGTAATATTATTGTGATTTTAAATTACTGTTAATGAGTAAACTCAACTTGCCGTATAAATTGCCAATGCTAACAAAGATTCTCACCCACTATATTAATAATCATAAAATTAGAATAACATGTTTTTATTTCAGCTTTAGAGAACAAAAATTTTGGCTCAGGAAATTTCATGTAGTCAACATATATCATTAAAACAAATAATATATGTTTTTTTTTCTTTGCCCCAAATCCAAAGTTCTAAGGATTAAAATAAAAAAGTAAAATCCAATTATGATGTTTTCTCTCTGCTTTATTTAATACTCAACATGACTGATTATTTCAAAGGGTACTAGGAAAATTTTCAAAAGCTATGCAAAATAAAATGAATTTTAACTGTTTTAATAGAAAAGTTCTATATATTTTAAAATATGGGACACATCAAGAATTTGCGTGTCATCCTTGCTCTAGGGCCATGCTAATCTATATCATTTCAAGTTTAGTGCTGCTGAAGTGAGCACATAATTTTTATGTCTGTCTCTCTTTCTCTCTCACACATACACAGTCAAGTGTTAAACTTGTTTAAGATTAAGTATCATGACTTACCAGATAAGGCAGAAAACTTGAAATCTGAGCTTTCTGATTCACTGATTTTACTGGATGACCTTCGGCAAGTCACTTACACCCTTAGCTTTGGTTTCCTTATCTTAAAGACAGGCAAATCCAATCCTTCCCTATTCTGATGTCAGAGGGATGTGGCTAAAGAAAAGCAGACTATGTGCCAACATTTTGAGCTCCTGAGAGATGAGCTCTATTTCATTCAATAAATATCATTCTCTACTCTAGATTTTTAGGGAGACATTCAATGAAAGTCTAGCAGGTAATGTTGGCTAATTAGGTATGTCACACCTACATGGTTTAACTAATACAGTAAGTTGTTTGAACATGACACTCTTGTATAGCAGGTGCTTTCATAAGGTTCTATCTGTTTATCATGCTCTTTACTGAACTTATCTAGAAGGTATCAAGTTGGAAGGTGGGTGTGTCGTGTATGTGACTACTCAAATATGTGTAAATAGAATTTTAATAAAAGTTGACATACTTTTTAAAAAGTTGGTGATTTGGTGGGGAGGAAGAAGAACTATCATTTATATTTGGAAAAGAGTATATCCTTCAGAAAATATAGAATGGTTGATTCTGTAAGTATAGTATATTTCCCAGCTTCAAATACAGGTCCCAGACCAGATTAACATGTTCTATCTAAACCAAGCTTCCATAGTGCCGCCTTCTTAAAACACCAGTCAAGGGAGGGGTGGTGATGTAAGGAGTGAAAAGGCAGGGTTTTAGAGGCGCGCACACACCTGAGTTTGCATCCTGGCACATTTCTTAGCTGAGCCCACTTTTTAAAATCTTACAGAATGAGAAGAATACCCTGCCTGCCTAGGGTCATGAAGATTAACTACTTTTTTTTTTTTTTCAAAGATAATTTCTATTGGGAATTGAAGGGCTGTGGACATCTTAACCATATATTTAGAAAATTGGGAAGTGAATTTTAGCTCAGCCTTGGTTTGGGATAGAAGCCAGAAATTCTTTAAGGTGGTAAATGGAGCTGTGTTTTATGTCATAACTTTTTCTTCTCTAATTCTCTCAGGGGCCCTCTGCTTGCTTCTCTGTTGCCCTCTTCTAATTCTCCATTTTTGGCACGACCCCTCACTAATTGAAACCTCCTCTGAATGCATTCCCTTCACCAGGCCCCTCAAATTCTTACACATGAATAGCAACAGACATTTTAAAAAAAATAATAGGGACTAGCTCTTGCCTTTGTTCCCGATCCACGGCAAATACATTTTAGTATGAAATCTATACACCTTTAGTTCTGAAGAAAACACTCTGAAGCACATACAAAGTTTTTAATTAAAAATTTTAGCCCAGCGGCATGGCTCAGTGGTTCGATTCCTGGTCAGGGCACATGCCCAGGTTGTGGGCTCAATTCCCAGTGAGGGGTGTGCAAGAGGCAGCCAGTCAATGATTCTCTCTCATCATTGATGTTTCTTTCTCTTTCTCCCTCTCTCTTTCTCTCTCTGAAATAAATAAAAACATATTTTATAAAATTGTAATTATTCCTATCCTGAATATTAACAGTAGGGAGAAAAAACTTTCTCTACACTCTTATGTTCTGGCAGATTTTCAGGAGAAAAAGATGTACAAATTTATGGATATTGTATTTACCCCAAATAAAATGTGTTATATTTTATTGACTTAGTACTTTTAATTCTGTATGCATGGGGGCTTCACAGAAAAGAAACAAAAACCTAAAACGGTGGTTAGACTTGGGAGCTTATATATTATTTTAACAAAGAACAAAAATGTGTGGAGAAGTGACTAAATAAAGGAAAAGGCTGTTTGGATGCCTAAAGGCAAAAAATTATGGGAAAATGTATGATAGATAAGGGTTGTTTTGCAAGGTTTGTGATTGAGTTTTTTCCTCTTCCTGGTATGGGAGAGTGGGGCACCTTTACAAATGAGAAATTTATGACCTGCTTTTAGGCAGATGGGAAAGAGCAGAGAGCTCCTCCCATGCCTGCTGCTTCTCAATTGCCTTTAGCTCAAAATAATCTTTACATCAAAGTGGCATATTTTGATCCCCTTCAAGTAAAATAATTGGAGAAAACATATTTTACCTTAATAAGACTATTCTATTTAATATAGACTGTATGACTATTATAGTAAGACAGACAATATACATTTAAATATAGTCATGGCTAAAGGCATGAACAGGCACAGCTATGTAAGTATTTAACCTCTCATCTGCCACTGTGCTGAAAGCCAGCAAGCATACCTCTTTGTACAATGCACCTGCTTTTAAATTGCTTTGTTTGCTTGGTGAACCTGTGGTTATTTTGCTGATATGCAAAACAGGCAGCTACCTATACTCACTGTATAGCATGTGGGATGGTTATGGTCATTTTGAGGTCACTAACATGGAATCCTACCTATATTCAGAACACAATGCCCATAGTGAATGAACCAATGATTGACTTGCGCTGACAGATTATTAACTATTTTTCCCTTTTGGTTTTTCTGTCTGACAGCAGCAGTGTGCAGGGTCAAAGACAGCTGGCCCCCCATGTCAGTGGTCTAGGATGGCCAGTGAAGCCACCAACATCCCAAGTCCTGTGGTGCGCCAGATTGACAAGCAGTTTCTGATTTGCAGTATATGCCTGGAGCGGTACAAGAACCCCAAGGTCCTCCCCTGTCTGCACACGTTCTGCGAGAGGTAAGCCTCCTTTGTGCACGGAGAAGGGAGTTTCACAGACTGACTTCCTACCGAGGGTTCTTTCCAGAATTCTCCAGTTACCTAGGGGAGACAATAAATCTTTTGTGCTTCTGATATAAATCTAGAAACATAATCATGAGTTGCCAATAATTTACTTTATTACAAGGGGGGCAAAAAAATAATAATGGTCTAGTAGCTCTTCATTTCCACAGGAGATGGAGCTTTAACTATTGGAGGTGTGGGTTTTTTTAATTTAAATTTTTCCTTTGTTCTTTGTGAAACAATTTTGGCCAACCACAGTTCCCTCACAAAAGATCTTCAGTGAAAGACAATTAAAAATCTATCATGTCCTCCCATATAATAACAATCAGGTAAAAATATCTGCATATATGAGGGGCTAGTAGAGAGCCTCCTTCCAAAGATAATTCAGAGGACACATACCAATGGCACATTTGAACATTATGCTATTTCAGATGAAGGAAAAAGCTATATATGTAGTAATTATACATTATCAGAATATACAATTTGCTGTATGTAAAATATACTTTCTTATTTATCTTTCTTGAGTGTTTCTTTCCACTGAGTTAATCATTTATCAGAATATTCATTCACCCCATGTCCAACTTCCCACATAAGCAATTAAGCATAAAGATTAATGGCCTAATTTAAGTATTTCCCTAGCAAGGCTGTATATTTTTTCTTATAAAAACAAATATGAATATAGTAATTATATTTTATAGCAGCTTGTTAAATACAGTTGCTATTATTATTTAATATACATAACTAGAATGCTTTGCTTTCTGTTATAGAATAGAAAATTGGTATTTCCAATGGCTTCAAATCAATGCTAATTAAATCTACATCCAATTGAACATAGATTTGTTAACTGGTTGAGCATGCTTGGAGTTGATTTACTTTGGAGGGTCTCAACTGCAGCAGAATAATCACATCCGTGGTGGTGATGGATGGAGGGAGAGGTGGATTTGTTATTGGAAGTTATGGGTTTTGCTTGTTTGCTTTGCTTTCTTTGCTGTGGGCTATTTGGGGGTTTTGTGTGTAATGTGTGGATATAGGGTTTTTGTCTGTTTTAGTGGTGGTATATGGGGCACCAAATACCTTTTATTTTATTCATTTTATACTTTGGCTTAAGTACTTTGTAATTCATATTCCAAAATGGCTAAATGGAGAGTGATTTTTTCCCCCTCTCCACTCTATAGGTGTAGCTAAAACATGAATACCAGCTAATTGCCCCTGTGTCCCTGGGCTCACGTGGTAAGATCATTATTTGATTTGGTGCAGTTGCCATACCGGGGCTCTTGCTATACAGCTGAGAGCCACTCCGGCTGAGCTCGGCAGAGCTGCCCCAGTCCCCAATGTTCAGTCCCTCTGGTCTGTTGTTCGGTTCCCATTTCCTTGTTCCTACAGGTGAGAAGCCCCATTCTACCCTGAGCCTGCCCCCTGCCTCTCAGTTAGGTCTAGCCCAGCCCATCTATATGAGATAGAGGTGCTGTTATAGAAAGAAGGCACAGCTTGGGAGGCGATCATGGGTTTGGTTTGGGACATGTTGAGTTTTAGAAACCTGTGAGGCCTCTAAGAGTAAATGTAGAGAAGGTGTGGATGGTGTACAGACCTGGGGCTCAGAGGAGATACCTGTGGGAAGAAATAGAAACGTGGGAGTGTTATGCTTTAGGCAGGCACGTGGGTATGGTATCCCCGGGAATGAAGAGTGCTTCCAGTGGAGTCTGGGTTAACTCCAAACTGTACTGACTTAGTAGAAAAATAGAGCAGACAGGAGAGCCAGCTGAGTGTGGTGTCATAGGCCAAGGGAAGATGAAGTTTCAAAGAAAAGGGGTGGGAGGGGGGAGCATAGTGGTCAAGCTTGATGAATGCTTCTGAGAAATCTAGTAAGAAAAGACTGAAGCGTGTTTATTGGATGTAGATATCATTAGTGACCTTAACAAAAGCTGTTTCAGTTCTGGTATGGATTCAGCCGCGGCTACCTCTGTGACGTAAGGAAGGCCACGTAACCTCCTTGATGTCCGTTTCCTCATCTGTAACATAAGGATATGGGTGAGAGCATTGCCTTTCCAATTCTGTTTGGCCGAGAAACTGGAAAACATTGTGCGGTGTAATTATTTAGAGTTTAGATCCTGGTACCAAATTGCCGTGGTTCGAATTCCTGCTCTGCCCCTGACCACCTAAGTCCCTCGGGCAAGTAACTCAGCCTCTGTCTGCCTGCATTTGTCATGTGTCTAAAGGTGATCACAGTAGTACCTACCTCGTAGGGTTGTTGGAAGTGCTTTGAATTCAGTGGTTAGCATATATGTTGGTCATGATTAGCAACACATTTCGCTCATTAAATGAATTAAGTTGATGCCTGTTGAGGAGAGGCAAGAAGAGATCAAGCTAGTGTGAGCCTGGGTATCCCATTCCTGCTTCAAAAGAACACTTCCGCTTGGCTGTTTTGTTGTTGTTCTGAAAATATTTTTATTGATTTTTGGAGAGAGAGGAAGGAGAGGGAGAGGAAGAGGGAAACATAGATTGGAGAGAGAAACATGGATCAGCTGCCTCCTAGGGATCGAGCCTGCAACCCGGGCATGTGCCCTGACTAGGAATTGAAACTGTGACCCTTTGGTGCATGGGAGGGCCTTCAACCAATGGAGTCACACTGGCCAGGGCCGTGTGTGTGTTTAACAGCAGAGATCTGCTTATGGTTTTGGACATTAAAAGAGTTTCAACACCAACAAAAAAAATGTGACATGTTTCTCCCAAATGTAAAAAAGTCCATGAACCTCAGACCAGCTATTCTAGACAAAGCTTCTCAACCTTAATGTGTATACAAATTGCCTGGGGTCTGACGCATTAGGCCTGGAGTGAGACCTAAGGTTCTGCTTTTCTCCCAAGCTCCCAGGTGAGGGCAGTGCTGCCGCTCCACAGACCAAGGCTCTGGAAAACACTGCCAACGTCAATGGCATTATGCTTCTCATGGACAGGGCCAATATGAGCTTCTCAGGGTTAGCTCTGGGTGTCTGAAATATTCTTCTCCGAGTCAAGGAAGTGACAAAGGCAGTTTCTGCAACGTGTCCTGTGTAGTTGCTGAGAACATGTGTGGTGCCTGTGAGAAGTGGCGGTTCCATTCCCTGAGCCCCACTGTGCTGACAGCCCCTGGCTTCTGCTTCTGCTTCTACCACAGGTGCCTGCAGAACTATATTCCCGCCCACAGCTTAACCCTCTCCTGCCCAGTGTGCCGCCAGACCTCCATCCTGCCCGAGAAGGGGGTGGCCGCACTCCAGAACAACTTCTTCATCACGAACCTGATGGACGTGCTGCAGCGAACGCCAGGCAGCAACGTTGAGGAGTCCTCCATCCTGGAGACGGTCACCGCAGTGGCTGCCGGAAAGCCCCTCTCTTGCCCAAACCACGATGGGAATGTAAGTCGCTGCCCAGCAGCATGACTGCTGGATGGGGGTCGGCATTGGGCACTCAGAGGCTCGACGTGAAACCAGAACTCCACCTGGAAAAGGAGTCATTAAAAAAGATTTTCCCCGGCCCTCAGACTATTTTGCCTGCTTCCTTCTTCTGACCTAATTTATTTAAATAATAAAATCAAACTGCATTGTGTCTTCTGAGCACAGATTGGTGGTTTCCCCAGGAGAGCTAGCCTCTGACTATTTGCAAGCTGGGCATACGTTGACCCACATAAACATTTGTGTAATAAATTATGGATAAAGACTTAATAATACCCCTACCTGGTTTGGCTCAGTGGATAGAGCGTCAGCCTGAGGACTGAAGGGTCCTGGGTTTGATTCCAGTCAAGGGCACATGCCCAGGTTGAGGCGGATCCCCGGTAGGGGTCGTACAGGAGGCAGCCAATTGGTGGTTCTCTCTCATCGTTAATGTTTCTATCTCTCTCCCTCTCCCTTCCTCTCTGAAATCAACAACAACAAAAAAATAAACACTTAATAATAGATAAGTTCTGCAAATTGAGGATGTTTAGGAAAATGTGAATTACATTTCTTTATTTTTCTTGTGAGGGAAATTTTTCTCATGCCTCATTAGACCCTACTCCTTAGTAATTAATAAATAGAATTTGAAGATACGTGAGTCCTTGATAATAGATTATGAATTCCAAGCATATTTCCTACTATTAGGAAGCACGATCCTGTTATAAACTCAGGGGGACCTGCATGTATCATCAGTAATTGATTCACAATAGCTATGTAACCCAAAGAGGTGGCATTGCGTGGTGGCTAAGAGCACTGGCTTTGGAGTCAGACTGCCTGGTTCAAATCCCGCACTTCACCTTATTCTCTGGGTTAGTTTTGGCAAGCTAACCTCTGTGTCTCAATTCCTCATCTACAAAAGGAAATAATAATAGTATAATTGGGAGACTTAAATGTGTAAGTCATATAAAACGTAGAGTAAGCTCTTGACAAATGTTAGCCATTAAAATTCTTTCTAATTAATAACTTTAGTCCCTTTTTTCTTTATATGATGACCACGTCAAACGTGCTTGAAACTGCTTATAATTGAAGGCTCAGGTATAATAAAACCACTAAAGCAACAAGAGATTGCTTGAGCAAAGCACTTATTATTAGCCATAACTAGTGTTTATTTGCCTTATCTTGTTCCACTCTCTCTGCTCATCATTGCTACAGCCTCACTGGCCTAGAACTTAGCAAGTGGTTTCCCACCTCAGGGCCTGCTGCTTTCTCTTTCTTATGCCTGGAATGGTTTTTGCTCTCTCTGGATGTGGCTAGCTCATTCTCACCCTTCATGCATCAGCTCACATTTCTCCTATAAACAGCAGTCTTCTCCAACTGCACTACGGCTCCACCTCTGACACCCAGTTGCCATCCATCACATCACTTCTTGATTTCCTTCATGGCATTCACCACGCTCTGCCTGCCCTCATCTGTGCATTTGCTGAGCTCACTTTTAGGAAGTGAACTGCAGGAGGGCCGGGACCAGGCTCACCATCATACCTCTAGCACTGAGAACAGTACCTTATACATAGAAGTATGGAAATCATCGGAGACCAACCCGATGAAAACAAGCAAAGGCTATGCATTCCGAATTTGCTCAAACAAGGAGTCAGCCACCATCACTTGTGTTTTGGCAGGGATTCAAAGTCAGGCAGAGGAGTGGGAACACTCAGTCGTGGGAAAAAGGCAAGGCTTCAGGTGTACCCAGATGTGAGGCCATTGGCATGGGGAAGCTAGAGGTGGGCCAACTAGAAGGGGGCACCTATGTGATTGGTTAGGGGTTCATATTTGGCTTTCTCTGATTGGTCCTAAGTTGGGAGTAGAGACAAAAATTAGGGAAGTTATCAGTAATCAAGTCCTAGCCATTTGAGGCCAATTGTTACCAAAGTTTTTGTTTAGCTTTTCGGATTGTTACTAGAGATAGCAGTTGGACTTCCTGCAAATCTGACTTATAGCAGGCTGATTTCCCGGGCCGTTTATTATAGATATAGAGTCAGTGTCCTGGGCAGGTTGTGAGTCAGAGGTCTATTTTTATACATGGTCTGACCATTGTCCATTTGCATATTTAGTTTCTCAGAAGTTAATCAGTACCTATTTGTTGAACGATTGTGCCAGACACTGTGCTTGGTCTCTTACACACCACTTTGCAAAGTAGGTGTTAGCTACCTTCATTGTATAGATGAAGAAACAGATTTGAACAGTTTCAGTCACAGGCCCATTTGACGTAAAAGCTAGACCTGGAGGAAAGAGCACCCTGAGCTTTTTGGGAACCAAAGTAAGAGGTACATGGTGGATTACCTCTTTTTATATAAAAAAATGAAAAATATATTTTTAAAAAAGATTGGAGAAGTGGGCTGTGCAAGAGTTGATCAGCTGAGTGGATTGGTGAGGTCAGCATGACTCCCAGGTGTCTAGCTTGGGTACCTGTGTCAGCAGTGGTGCAACAAACAGAAACAGAGGTTGACTCTTTTTTATTTTTATTGATTTCAGAGAGGAAGGGAGAGGGGGAGAGAGATAGAAACATCAATGATGAAAGAGAATCATTGATTGGCTATCTCCTGCACACCCTACACTGGGGATCAAGCCAGCAACTCATGCCATGTGCCCCGACTGGGAATCGAACTGTGACCTGGTTCATAGGTCAGTGCTCAACCACTGAGCCACGCCGGCTGGTCCAGAGGTAGACTTTAAAATTACTCTGAACTTTCTACAAAATGGCACTATCAATCTTAGAGAAACTTTGGAAAGAGAAATATGTTGTTAGTGCCTGAAGGACAAATAGGAAAGTAAAGATGTATTTCCTGAGCACGCCTCGAAGTAGAGACCTTGGTTGCCACAGGCTGCTAAGCAGAAACTCTCTCAGAGATGCTAATTTCAGCAAAATGTAAGAATCCTTTTAGGCTAAACTTTACTTTCTCCCAAATGCAACACATCAAATCACACTAAAAATGAAATCTCTCTAAAGAGCTGGACCCTCTTTAGAATAAAGGAAGCTCTTTAAAGTATGTTTTGAGCGCTTCCTCAATGCTGGGTCATTATCATTCCTCGAGAATCATAAGATTTATAAACCAGCCAGAGGCCTTGGAAAATCAGCTGTGTGTCTTCACTCATTCTGTTGTTTCATTGTGGACTGTAGGAGTTCGCTGCTGCTGCTTTGAAACGGGGCCTCATGGCATGTTCAAGCCAAATGCATGCGATACTACAGATAAATTGCTGCAGTTAACTGCCATGGGTAAATCTTTAAAAACATCTCAAGCGTCTGAAGGTTAATAAAATCCGGTAATTAACAATAAAGCAGGATGTTGCTGTCATAAACTGCCTGGTGCTGATCAGCACATGTGGATGAAAGCCTGTCATTTACTTTAAGTGCTGTGACACAATCTGTCTTCTAATTAAACTGCTGTGGCGGCATTGTCCAAATACAAAGAAAAATGGGGCTGGCGGTCAGTGATTTCAGAGGTTCCTTGCCCATAAAGCAGACACTTGAGCTCATGCCTTGCAGTCCTAGAACACAAAAGATCGGACGATCATGAAACCCTATTTTTGCTTGCTTAGGCCATGCTAGCAAGAATGTTAAGAGGTGCAAAGGAGGGATCCTCATGCCCGGCCAGGACCAAGTCCCCACTGCCAGAAGCCTCCGGGCTGGCTGCATGGCCCTGAGCACATTCCAGCAGTTAGTAATGCGAGTGGCCCCTCATCTTCTCTTCTGAGGAACACAAATGGTGACTGTCTGTCAACAGCAGTAAGCTCATCCTGGCCTCTGGCCCACCCACCCCTGGAGCACCAGCATCATGGCACTCAGGATGGATGAGTCTCACACCTCCCGCAATTAACTCTCAGCCTGAGTCAAAGCTGTCAGGGCCCAAGCACAGGCATTTGAGAATGACCAGTTGTTGACACTTCAGAATGATTTGCTTCCCAAGAAACACTGAAGATACTGAATCAGGGAAATAACCCAGGTCTGCTGCTGTCTCTTCAAAGCAATCAAACATTTTTTTTAATTGAGGTAAAATTCACACACAAAATTCACATTTTAACCATTTTAAAGTGTATAATCCAGTGGCTTTTAGTGTATTCAAAAAGGTTGTGCAAACCTCACCACTAATTTCAGATCTTTTTTGTTATCCCAAAAAGAAACTCTATACTCTTTAAGCAGCCAGTTACTTACCCCGCCCACCAGCCCCTAACCCCTGGCAACCATCAGTTTGTGTTCTGTCTCTCTCTGGATTTGTCCATATGGACACTTGATATAAATGGAATCTTACATATATAATATATAGCTTTTTTTAGTCTGGCTTCTAGCACGTATAATGTTTCAAGATACATCTATATTGTAGCATATATCAGAACTTTATTCCTTTTTTAAAATTTTTTTTATTTTTTATTGTTGACAGTATTACAGATGTCCCCCAACTCCCCCTCCCCCCTTTACCTCCCTTCTCCCAACCTCTGCCCCACCCCAGGCCTTCTCCACACTATGGTCTGTGCCCATTGGTTATGCATATATGTATATAAATTTTTTGGTTCCCTGCCCCACCCTAGGCCTTCACCACTCTATTGTCTGTATCCATTGGCTATGCATATATGTACATAAATTCTTTGGTTAATCTCTTCCCATCTCCCCTGGCTTCCCCTTTGAGATATATCAGTCTGTTCCCTGAATTCATGCCTCTGGACCTGTTGTTCATCAGTTTATTATGTTTATTAGATTCCACATATGAGTGAGATCATGTGATATGTCTCTTTCTCTGACTGGCTTATTTCACTCAGCATAATATTTTCCAGGTCCATCCAGGCTGTCACAAAGGGTAAGAAATCCTTCTTTTTTACAGCTGCATAGTATCTGATTGTGTACATGTACCACAGCTTTTTATCCACTCATCTGCTGATGGGCACTTGGGCTGTTTCCAGATCTTAGCTATTGTAAATAATGCCACTATGAGCATAAGGGTGCATATATTCTTTCTATTTGGTGTTTTGGGCTTCTTATGATATATTCCTAGAAGTGGGATTGCTGAGTCAAATGGTAGTTCCATTTTTAATTTTTTGAGGAAATTCCATACTGTTTTCCTAGTGGCTGCACCAGTCTGCATTCCCACCAGCAGTGTACTAGGGTTACCTTTCCTCCACATCCTCGACAGCACTTGTCATTTGTTGATTTGTTGATGGTAGCCATTCTGACAGGTGTGAAGTAATACCTCATTGCAGTTTTAATTTGCATCTCTTTGATGATCCGTGATGCTGAGCATTTTTTCATATGTCTATTGGCCATCTGTATGTCCTCTTTGGAGAAGTGCCTATTCAGGGTCTGTGCCCATTTTTAAATTGGGTTATTAGTCTTCTTTTTGTTGAGCTGTATGAATTCTTTATATATTTTGGAAATTAACCCCTTATCAGTTGTATCATTGGCAAATATGTTCTTCCATACAGTGGGATCCCTTTTCGTTTGGATGGTGGTTTCTTTTGCTGTGCAGAAGCTTTTTAGTTTGATGGGTGCATTCACTTTGTGAAAATCCATCCATCTGTCTTGGGACTTATGCTATTTTCTTTTTTTTTTATTATTATTATTATTTTTTTATTTATTAAATCTTTATTGTTCAGGTTACATTTGTTCCTCTTTTTTTCCCCCCCATAACTCCCCTCCTCCCAGTTCCCACCCCACCCTCCGCCCTCACTCCCCACCCACTGTCCTCATCCATAGGTGCACGATTTTTGTCCAGTTTCTTCCCGCATCTCCCATTCCCCTTTCCCCCCCAAGAATAGTCAGTCCATTCCCTTTCTATGTCCCTGATTCATTATAATCACCAGTTCATTCTGTACATCAGATTATTTATTCACTTGGTTCTTAGATTCACTTGTTGATAGATGCATGTTTGTTGTTCACAATTTGTATCTTTACCTTTTTCTTCTTCCTCTTCTTAAAGGATACCTTTCAGCATTTCGTATAATACTGGTTTAGTGGTGATGAACTCCTTTAGCTTTTCCTTATCTGTGAAGCTCTTTATCTGACCTTCAATTCTGAATGATAGCTTTGCTGGATAAAGTAATCTTGGTTGTAGGTTCTTGGTATTCATCACTTTGAATATTTCTTGCCATTCCCTTCTGGCCTGCCAAGTTTCTGTTGAGAAATCAGCTGACAGTCGTATGGGTATTCCCTTGTAGGTAATTGAGTCTCTTTCTCTTGCTGCTTTTAAGATTCTCTCTTTGTCTTTTGCTCTTGGCATTTTAATTATGATGTGTCTTGGTGTGGTCCTCTTTGGATTCCTTTTGTTTGGGGTTCTCTGCGCTTCTTGGACCTGTAAGTCCATTTCTTTCACCAGGTGGGGGAAGTTTTCTGCCATTATTTCTTCAAATAGGTTTTCAATATCTTGCTGTCTCTCATCTTCTGGCACCCCTATTATTCTGATGTTGGTACGCTTGAAGCTGTCCCAGAGGCTCCTTACACTATCTTCGTATTTTCGGATTCTTTTTTCATTTTGCTTTTCCGGTTGGGTGTTTTTTGCTTCTTCGCATTTCAAATCTTTGACTTGATTCTTGCGCTCCTCTGGTCTGCTATTGGGTGTCTGTATAATATTCTTTATTTCAGTCCGTGTATGCTTAATTTCTAGTTGGTTCTTTATCATAGCATCGAGGGTCTCATTAGTTTTCGTGACTCTCTCCTCAAGTTTATTGACAGCTTCTAGCACATTTTTGCAAGCCCTCAAAATTGCGATTTTTAGCTCTATATCCTCCATTTCTGTCATGTTTTTTTGTCTCCGCATTTTTTATGCTTTCTTGGTGCACCCCCTAGTGGTCTTTGTGCGCAGTCTTGTTCTAGTTGAGCCTTGATTGTTGTAGTTAATACTAGAGGGATTTGACCACCAGGCCGACTGGCTGTGTGAATCAGCTGTGTCTGCCGCGGAAAACTTCTGTCCTCTGGGGAGGTGCTAATCTAGCCTTTGCCTGAGGCTATCCGGCAAATGGCTCTGCGCAGGGCTTGGGCGGGGCGGGCTCAACAGGGCGGGCGGAGGGAGCCGTTATGGTGCCCTCAGTCCTGTTCCCAGAGGCTCTGCTTCTCAGAACCCCCGGAACCGCTGCAAACCTCGGAGGGAAAGCTGCCTTCCAACTGATGCCAGACACTCCCGCTTCTCCCGTTTGGGTCCGAGTCCCCAGCGATTCGCCCGTATCTGGAGCTCAGAGTCTGAGACTCCCCCCTGACCGAAAACGACAACCGCGCTCTCAGCCACCAGCCCGCTTTGCGCGCGCACCTCCGCACCTGAGTTTTTTCCACACTGCGCCTCCTCTGAGCCTCGGTGTGCTGTTATTTTTCCTTCTAGTTGAAGAGTCTCTCCTCAGCCAGCCTTCCTGTGGTTCTGGGTGATGTCCGTTCCGTCTTTTAGTTGTATTTTTGAAGTGGTTGTTTGCGGCAGCAGTCTCCGGTGTTTACCTATGCCGCCATCTTGGTCTCTCCTCTATGCTATTTTCTATGTGTGTGTTACACTTCAAGAAGATCCCACACACACACACACCCGCCCCTGCAAATGCTTTGAGAATTCAAAATTGGAAGAAAATATTTTCAGCTGAGAGAATAAGGGGACTCTAACTTTCAGGCTTTATGTTATACTGTTACTGAGATTCATAACAATTAGGATAAGGTGGTTTTATTTTCGGGTAAGCAGATGACATCATTATTAAGAACTTACTATGTGCCAGCACCAGGCAAGATCTGACTTCTTTGTGCATATCCATCTACTGACTCCTCACAGCACCCCTATGAAGTAGGTTACTGTTGTCTCCATTTGACAGAGGAAAACACTGAGACACAATGAGCTGACAGTCCATCTCACCTCTTCTCCAAAGAGCAGCGGTTGTCAGTGTGGTCCAGGCATCCTCAGGTGTCCCGAGACCCTTCAGGGGTGTCCACAAGGTCAAAACTACTTATATAACATTAAGACATTATTTGCTTTTTCACTCTCATTTTCTCAGTGTATGTTGGTATTTTCCAGACTATACGATGTCTGCTATCAAAACAGATTGTATGCAGAAGTAGATATGAGAGCCCAGCTTTTTCTATTAAGCCAGACACTGAAGGGATTTACAGAAATGAAAAACAATGTCGTGTGTGTGTGTGTGTGTGTGTGTGTGTGTGTGTGTGACTTAAAAAAACACAAATTTATTCTCTTACAGTTCGGGAGTTCAGAAGTCTAAAATCAAAATGTAGGTAGGGCTGTGTTCCTTCTGAGGCTTCAGGCTTCAATAGAGAATCCATTTCCCTGCATTTTTTTTTTTTTTTAGCTTCTAGAGCAGCAGTTCTCAACCTGTGGGTCGCGACTCCTTTGGGGGTCGAACGACCCTTTACAGGGGTCGCCTAAGACCATCGGAAAACACATATATAATTACATATTGTTTTTGTGATTAATCACTATGCTTTATGTTCAATTTGTAACAATGAAATTGGGGGTCACCACAACATGAGGAACTGTATTAAAGGGTCGCGGCATTAGGAAGGTTGAGAACCACTGAGGCTGCCTGCATTCCCTTAGCTTGTGACCTGTTCCTCGAATCACTCCAATCTCTTGTTTCTGTTGTCTTGTCTCCTACACTGTCTTTGGCCCTCCCGCCTCCCTCTTACAAGGGCTCTTGTGATTACATCGGGCCCACCTGTATTACCAGCATAATCGTCCCATCTCCATATCCTTAACTTAATTCACATCTGCAAGTCCATTTTGCCATATAAGGTAAACCCATTAACAGGTTCCGGGGATTGGGAGGTGGACACCTTTGGGGGCCATTGTTCAGGCTACCACACCTGCTTTGCTATGTATTCTTTCAGCACCTCTGCGTCTCTGGCGGTAACCATCTATACAATTCTGTGCTATTTGGGCTTCAGTGTCTGCCCTGCTCACATCCCCTGGAAGGGACAGTGCAAGTACCATATCATATGACTCCACCCTCGTTGGTATGGCAATGGTTGATGAATAGCGGATCTGTTTTCTGGTTAATAATCTGTTGTTCCATTGACTTGCCTTTTATCAGCAAGTGATACAATTCTAAAGAATTTGGATGAAATTGTACAAGGACTGTAGTAGTTTCTTTATTTTATTTTCCTGGGAACACACTTTATTTATTTTTTAATTTATTGGGGTGACATTGGTTAATAAAATTATATAGGTTTCAGGTGAATGCCATTCTTTTTTTGTTTGTTAATCCTCACCTGAGGATATTTTTCCATTGATTCTCCGCCCCCCTCCCCGCCTGCTCCCCCCTTCCTGCCCACCATTGATTCTTAGAAAGAGTGGAAGGGAGAGGAAGGGACAGAGAGAGATGAATGCCATTCTTCTCGTAGCTTTTTGTCTTACAAAATATAGTTACTTTTTATAAATTATATTATTCATGTTACTATTTAACGGGCTTATCATGGCTTTTAATAAGTAAATAGTTAACCTTTTTCTGTTTCAATATTAAAGTGATAGCTATCTATAGATATAACTCACGTAAACTACAGCACTTTGCAGTCCCCAATAATTTATAAAGAGTGTAAAGGGGTCCTGAGAAAAGCTGGTTTTGTGACCAGAGCAGTGGCTTTGGAGTCCGATCCCCTCGGTTTGAGACGTGGCACAGAAAAGCTTACCCTCCCTTTCCTCCTGTGAAGCTGGACTTAATATTACTGACATCCTGGGGAGCCTGTGAGACTGAACTGGGAGAACGCCTGGTAAGCCCTTCGTCAGCGGCACCGGTCCTGGAATTGTTCTTGTGTCACCCGCAGGTGATGGACTTTTACTGCCAGTCTTGTGAGACCGCCATGTGTCGGGAGTGCACTGAGGGGGAGCACGCGGAACACCCCACCGTGCCCCTCAAGGACGTGGTGGAGCAGCACAAGGCCTCACTCCAGGTCCAGTTGGACGCTGTCAACAAAAGGTACGCACATCTCCCCCAGGCTCCCAACTGGCCGCTGGGGTCAGGCTTGGCCTCAGGGTCTCTTGTCTCAGGGGGATGGTAGGTTCATGTCACCTAAACAAATTCTTTGACCGTGGGTCTGTAGTCACAAACTAGTGAGTGGAGAGTCATCCCCTGGCCCTTGGTAAAATTCCCCCTGATGTTATGAGTGGTGGCATTTTTGTTTTAGTGCCTTAGTGTGATTATGAATAAAATATACTTGGGGAAAGTGGTCTCAGGGGATCTCTAAAATTCGAGCGTGAAACCAGGCTCTCTGAAGAGCCTTTCTTATCTGCTGTTCTTGACACACTTACAGGCCCATTGTGTTGCCTGTGACTGGCTGCTCTCTGCTGGAGCCCAGCAAAATGGTACTGAGCAGTGATTGCTCCATTTTCTTTATGTTTCCCTGCGTTCAGGCACCCTTTTTTTTTTTTGGCATGGAATCGAAGGAACAGAGTAGCTGTGTGATGCATGAGGAAGAACAAAGAGAGGAAATAAATAGCCAGCTGAAAGAAAATCTCTTCAGCAACAGTTGTACTGAAAAAAGTGTGGTTATTCTATACTAATTAAAAGAACTTGGAAACTTGCAAGAAGATCCCAGGGAACTCTGAGTTTGGATAAGTTTTTCATGTGACTGAGAAAAAAGATCCAGCTATATGTTTAGAACAGTGGTTCTCAGCCATGAATAATTATGCGCGCGCGCGCACACACACACATACACACACACACACATACACACCAGGGACATTTAGCAATGTGTGGACACAATTTAGTGTCACAACTATGTGTGTGGGGGGAGGGGTGGTGCTATTGGCATCTGGTAGAGGACAGGATGCTGTTAAACATCTGTAATGCACAGCACAGTCCTCTGTAACAAAAAATTCTCTGGCCCAAAATATAAACAGTCAAGATTGAGAAAACCTGGTTTAGAGTGTGAGGAAAAGATGGGATCCAGAGAGCTTCAAAGTATCATCCATTATTAAAAGTAGATGACTGGCCCAGCTGGCATGGTTGAGCATTGACCTAAGAACCAGGAGGTCAGGGTTCGATTCCCCATCAGGGCACATGCCCAGGTTGCAGGCTCAGTGCCCAGTGTTGGGCGTGCAGGAGGCACCAATCAATGATTCTCTCTCATCATTGATGTATCTGTCTCTGTCTCTCTCCCTTCCTCTCTGAAATCAATCAAAATATACGTTTTTTAAAAAGTATTTGACTGTGGTAGATTGAAATAAAAATGGACCCTCAAAGTCTCTTTCAAAGGCTGTAATTATGTCTTATTCGTTCTGTTCTTCAGTTACTACTTCTTAAAGACGATGAGAGGCACACTGAATGTTTCTTCACAAAATACAGTTGTTGCTTTTACTATTTCTAGGTTGATGTTAAATAATCATGATCTTTAACAACTGTTCCTCTAGGCTCCCAGAAATAGATTCTGCTCTTCAGTTCATCTCGGAAATCATTCACCAGTTAACCAACCAGAAGGCCAGCATCGTAGATGACATCCATTCCACCTTTGATGAGCTCCAGAAAACTTTAAATGTGCGCAAGAGTGTGCTGCTTATGGAGCTGGAGGTCAACTATGGCCTCAAACACAAAGTAAGACTCCAGCTGTCCTTACCCATATCCTGGAAGAGACGTGATGTCTGGGGCCCTTCATGGCACTGGCTTCCTGCCTTCTCCTAGCGGCAAAGGGGGCTCCAATGGGTCCTTAGGTGTCACTGTTGCAGTCAGAGTAGTTTTCATTTAATGGCATATCCAGCTTTTTTTTCTCCTTCCTGTTTTCAGCAAAACTCTAAATCTGTGACATTAAGCCCCAATTTATAATTTGACACCAGGCAAGGTTGAGTATGAAGTAATGCGTTCAGGATTTAGGGTTAAACCGGATTGTTTTCCTTCCTTAATTAGAATGGCTAATAGTCTCTTAATTGCTCTCTCGCCCACTCCGACCTGTTAGTCAACTTCAAAGCGAGCCCTGCCTGCAGCCTTTGTTTGACTCTGCAGGTGGATCACAAAGCCCGGTACGAAGAGCTTCTGAGATCCAAGCGGGGAATGAGTTTTCATTCCTCCGCTTCTGTTCCTTTAAGAGGTGACAGGGGAGCTTTGGACATGAAGGGAAGATACGGAACAATGAATATTTCAGATGTCAAGCGTGGTCATCTGTTGGCTAAGCTCTGGGTGGTGACGGTCCCATCAAAAACACGTGATCCAAGAAATATGTGTGTGGGAGAAGCAGGGCGAGGCGGAACGGAAAGAGAAGGCCCTGGGAATGCAGTGTAGGACGGCGCATTAGCACCGGGTTCAGTGAGTGAAAGTAGACACCCCTTGCTGGGAGCCACGGGCGGACGTGGGCAGGTGCAGGACCGGGTTCTGGCCCGGGGAAGGCCCGGCCCCAGTGCGCGCTGCAGCCCCAGTGCGCGCTGCACCGCGTCCCCGGGGTTGAGCTTCAGCGCTGCAGGGAGCACTCATCCTGCGCGCTTTGCCTGCAGGTGCTCCAGTCGCAGCTGGATACCCTGCTCGAGGGGCAGGAGAGCATTAAGAGCTGCAGCAACTTCACGGCGCAGGCCCTCAACCACGGCACGGAGACAGAGGTGCTGCTGGTGAAGAAGCAGATGAGCGAGAAGCTGAACGAACTGGCCGACCAGGACTTCCCGCTGCACCCGCGGGAGAACGACCAGCTGGACTTCATCGTCGAGACCGAGGGGCTCAAGAAGTCCATCCACAACCTCGGGACCATCCTCACCACCAACGCCGTCGCCTCCGAGACGGTGGCCACGGGCGAGGGGCTGCGGCAGACCATCATTGGGCAGCCCATGTCCGTGACCATCACGACCAAGGACAAGGACGGGGAGCTCTGCAAAACCGGCAATGCCTACCTCACGGCGGAGCTGAGCACGCCCGACGGCAGCGTGGCCGACGGAGAAATCCTCGACAACAAGAACGGCACGTACGAGTTCCTGTACACCGTGCAGAAGGAAGGGGACTTCACGCTCTCGCTGAGGCTCTACGACCAGCACATCCGCGGCAGCCCCTTCAAGCTGAAGGTGATCCGGTCGGCGGACGTGTCGCCCACCACCGAGGGCGTGAAGAGGCGCGTGAAATCCCCGGGGAGCGGCCACGTCAAGCAGAAGGCTGTGAAGCGACCCGCGAGCATGTACAGCACCGGGAAGAGAAAAGAGAACCCCATCGAGGACGACCTCATCTTCCGCGTGGGTAAGGAGGGGGCGGGGCGGGGCGCGCCTGCAGGCGGAGGGTTGCTGGGGCGGAGGGCTCCCTGGGAAGGTGGCTGCAAAGAGGGGCATTGCAGGGCAGGCCTTCTCCCCGCAGGTGCAGATACCGGTGTGTTTCATTAGCGGAGCTTATGCAGCCTCTATTTGTGCAGATAGTGCGATGTAGTTTCCCCTCCTCCTGTTCCAACACTCCGTGCCTCCCCTCCCTCTCTCTGCCCCTCTTGCTCCTCCTCCTCCTTTTTTAACAGGCAGTGCTGCCTGCTCATTGTAGAAAATTGGAAACCGAAAATAAGCAAAAAGAGAATTGGGAAAATATCAGCACTTATTCATAATCTAGCAATTTTAGAAGAATGTTGGCCATCGTTTCCCTCCCTGTAGGAATGTCCTTGGAGCACTCCCGCCTTCCCCAAAGGCAGAGAGATTGTTCTGTCAGATAGCCTAACCCAAAGGCGGAGCGATGTGCTATCAGATAGCCTTCAGCTTCTCTGCGATCTGCCAGGGGCTGTGGTGTGGGCAGAGGCTCTGCCTGAAGCCTCCCTGTCGCTGCTTCTGCACCCCTGTAAGGGCTGGGGTGGGGGACGTGGTGCATTGCAAGGTGTGCTCACCTCCGGTATGTTAGCTGGAGAGCAGCCCCCCAAATGGGGAGGATGGGTGGAGACCTGGAGAATGGAATGGGGTTAGGGTGGAGGCAGAAGGCTTCGCAGGAGCCAAGAGATTGGGGTATGCAGATAGCCCATCCCTTCTGATTTATTGCTTCTGATTATTTTTTTACTATCAAAACAAAAATTTATTGAGACTAATGTTATTTTTAGCTGTTTGTTTTCTCCGTAGAAAGCAAACTAGATGTAAACAAACAATTTGATAATACTTTTTTTCATGTTTATATTGATTTTAGAGAGAAAGGGAAAGGGAGAGATAGAAACACTAACATTGATTGGCTGTCTCCCCCCCACCCCCCACCCCTAAACCTGGGCATGTGCCCTGACTGGGAATTGAACACCCTCCCCCCACCCCCAAAACCTGGGCATGTGCTCTGACTGGGAATTGAACCTGGGACCTCTTGGAACATGGGTAGATGCTCAACCACTGAGCTATACCAGCCAGGCCCAGATTGGATAATTCTTAAGAAAAAAAAAAAGTCTGCATTTAATTACTGTATCCAAAAGTAGGTCTAACCCGCTTCTCTTTCTGCCTCTTTAGTCCTTATCGTAGTATCTCTAAAAGGGCTCTGCCCCGTGTATTAAATGACACACATAGAAAAACAATTCTGTGGTTCAAATAAATTGGGGAAACCTTAGCTTAAGTGAAGGAAATGGGGATTTTTTAAAAATTGCAGAACCTTTAGAATCTGCTGATGTGCACTTTAAGTCTCCAAGGCAGGGGAAGGGTAACAGGCAGCACTTCCGAACTTTTCTGATCATAGAACTTTTCCATGGAACATCTTGGGGAAAGAGCTCCTTGGAACATTCCTGGCAAAGCTATTCTATGTTCGCACATTAGGCTGAATCTTGGTGAAGATTGTGATGTGATATGTCAGTTGTCTGCTCAGAGCATGGAGGTCTAGTACATTCACTGGCCATTTGTGCAGTGTGGGTGCAGACATTGTTGATCCGCCTGCCAAAGCAGAGTGGGCGAGCTGGGCCGGGCACAGGATGGGGAGCCTCCCAGGTGTGCCACTCCGGTTCTGCCAGTTACTTGAACCTTGGGCAGGTCTCCCAGCTTCCCTGGGCTTCAGTTTCCATGTCCATCAAATGAAAGTACAAATATCTGCTTCTGAGAATTGTTCTAAGTTCCAAGAGTAATGCCTGGCATGTGGGGGGAGGGGGGAGGGGAGCCAAGTAAATGAAAAGTATTATTTTTGCACATGCAATTTAAGGTTGTTAGATTTTACCTAGTATCCTCTCAAACAATTTAACTCGCTGCTGCCCACTGATCTCCTGTATTAAGAACAAACTCAGTCTCAAATTCAAAACCTCCCACCCCCAGCCAAGGGACCCCTGTCTGCTTGCCTGGGCACCACGCAGAGAGGAGAAAGGCCCAGACCTGGGTCTGATTCTGGCCCTGATTCTCTTTGCCAGCTGGGCAACTGACTTACCCTTTCTTAACCTGGTTCCCTCCTCTGGAAAACAAAGGGGATGAAATATTACCTAACTCTTAAGGTTGTTTTGGCATTGAAAGAGAGAATTCTTGTAATATGCTGGCACTTGGCTGTGTATAGTAAGTGCTCAGTTCATGGTAGCTGGTATTTTACTGTTATTATCAATCATCATCATCTCTACCTGTGATTGTCCTGAGTATTTCCCTAGGGATATTTCCCTCCAACTATTGGCTTTGAATTCTTAGCTCCCACCCTGTAAGGCAGCGGTTCTCAACCTGTGGTTTGTGACCCCTTTGGCAGTTGAACGACCCTTTCACAGGGGTCGCCTAAGACCATCCTGCATATCAGATATTTACATTACGATTCATAACAGTAGCAACATTACAGTTATGAAGTAGCAATGAAAATAATTTTATGGTTGGGTCACAACATGAGGAACTGTATTTAAAGGGCCAGAAGGTTGAGAACCACTGAATCTGCTCTCTCCTCTTAAACGTTTGTGAAGTGCTTAGAACAGTGCCTGGCAAGCAGCACTGCGTCCAAGATTATTAATGAAGTAAACATGGTGGGTTATGACCAAATCCAGCTTCTTACTGTTTGGCTTGAGTGACTTCGGGGTGTGAGGCGGTAGAGTGAGTGATGGTTAAGGCTGTGGACTCTGAGGCTAGACCTCCCTGGGTTCCAGCCCCAACATCCCCACTTCCTCATCTGTGCAATTTTGGGTAACTTATCTAACCTCTCAGTTCTTCAGTTTCCTTCATAAAATGGGGATTAAAACACACACACACACACACCCTACCAAATAGGGGTTGTGACAATTAAACAAATTAATAAATTAACACACAAGATGGGCAATGTAGGTGTTGCTAATTAACATATTCATGGTGGTAGTATAGAAGTCATAGTTAACCTAAGGAGTTAAGAACATGGTAAGTAAAGAGCTCAAAAGCCTGATTGCCTCATTTTGAATCCCAGCCTTCTATTCATTGACCGTATGATTCAGTGAAGATTATTTAACCTCTCTGTGTTCAGTTTCTTCATCTGTAACATGGGGATGCTTAACACACATGTCACTTGGTAAGGATTAAAGTGGTACATGTGAAGGCTTAGAACAGTGCAGGCACATGATAAGGACTCCGTAACTGTGACTATTGTTGTTGTCAGTACCAAGCAAGTTAGGGAAAGTCAGAGGAAGAGAGGTATGTTTCCGTTTTCATCACCCAGGCTGAAGTGTCCCATAGCAGTTTGGAGTTTGAAGCTCAGCAAAGAAGTCAGGGCTAGACATCAATTTGGAAATGAAATGCATAGAGAAGTTGCTTTAAAGCGTGCATTTCAATGAAATGTCCAAGATAGGAGTTGTGATTCTGGGAGGAATGGATGGGGAATGGAAGCAGGAGGAAGGAGCAGGCATTGTCTGAGCCAGGCAGTGTGCAGTCCACTTCTGTGTCATCTTATTTAAAATCTTTAGCAAGTATCATATACTTTCAGTTCTCAATGTCCCCACAGGGTAATGCGCCTACTGCAGCATCAGGTGTGGTGTGCTGGAGTCAGCTTATCCTGGTTCTCACACCACCTCCCAACTCTGTTCAGTGACTCCACGTTGGTAGCTCTAAATCAGTGAGTGGGAGTGGGGGGGGGGGGACATTTATATCCAGAAATGGGCAAGTGCTACAAATCAGAGCTCCTCTCCAGCCCCCGACCCCTGCCCCTCAAGAGCTAAATTGCCAAGACAACATCAATTATCCTTCCCATAGAAAGAATGGAGTCTCAGAGGGCTGGTGTAGGAGCCCAAGCTGTCTGTGACTCTCAGGCCTATGCCTTTTCAATTGCACAATAGCTCCTCTTCACCTAAAATGTCCTTTAACTACTGTAGTTTTTCAAAGTTGAGGAATTTGATACCTCCCACGCCTGTAAACTTAATGATATGCCCACAGTGAATGAGTTATTGTGTTTCTCTAATATTGTATTGCAAAACAGTCCTGAATGAGTTTAGGGAAGTAGCTTAGAGCATCTGTTGACGGTGATTCCTTGAAACACAGAGATTATTTTCCCCTATAGTGTCAAGTTTGCTGACTAGAAGCCACCAGCTGGTTTAGTCAGCTATTAAAGAAAGTCACTGAACAAAAGAGAGGCCAGAAGACATGGGAGGGAGTGAAAGAATTACAGTTGAATTGTTGCAAATGATGCAATGAATACACCATACCTTAGTGAGTGCATGGGAAGTGAACGAAGCACTCATTTGTACTCTAGAGCAGTGAGCTTTTTTTCCATGTAAAATCACTTAGCGTGAGTTCAGAAGTTTTACGGGAAGTAGGGCATTTTACGCCCTTTCCCCTGCCTCACCTCTGCAAACCACCACCTCCCCTCCCTGGAATCTTGGAGGAAGGAGACGGTACTAATTTGGCATCTGAGGTCATTATAGGCACCCTGCCCTCACCCACCTTGAGCATCTCATCCTTGGGAACTGTTCTTGCATGTCAAGTGGGAAAAGATGCCTATAATATTTACCAAGTCCTAGCTAGGCACAGTGCTGTGTTGTAGGGTGCAACAGGACAGATGTTACCCCTGCCCTAGGGGAGTTCACATTTTAGTGAGGGAGACAGACAGTTACACAATGAAAATACTGTGTGATAAGGAATAGAATAATCTAAAGAATTAGATTATTGTAAACCCAAAGGGTAATTATCCGCACTCACCTCAGAAATCTAGCATTCTAAAGTCCAATTAGAAGGAAGCATTGTGTGTATCAGAAAAAAAATGTATTATGTGAATCTCCTAATCTCCTGGTCAAGAGAACCCAGATTTTAGTCTTCCCTCTGTCTCTACTGCCTTTGTGATGTGTCTAGTTTCAATTTTGCATCTCCAAAATGGACCAATAGAGAATATGTATCATGTTAACTCCTGGGGTTATAAGGCGTGCACGAGAGAAAGTATATGAAAGTGCTTAAGTATTATGGAACATTTCATTTTCCCATGACTTAATGTGGGTTGTCATTTACACAGTCATTAATAATTCATTCAGGCACTTACTCACTCAACAAACATTTGTGAAGCTCCTACTGGAAGATCTTGTGTTAGACCTTATGTTTGGCTCACTTTCATCTCTTGCTTTATCCCGTTCTAAGTATCTTGATTTACTGAACATGAATTTTCCCATTAAGTCGTGGGGGTTGGGGGGGAGGCTTATAGTTATTGATCCTCTATTTCAGTCCAGGGTCCTATTACCTGGTTACCTTACTTCTGTAATCTTCCTGGAGGCGTGGGTGGAAGTGAGTACAGTTTAACATATGGGAAAAACAAGTTTAATGCTCCTATGGCATTGTTGCCAAAGTATTTATAATTATTTTTAAAACTCAGGTTACTTGCTTTACTAGCCAAATGTAACCATCAAATGAAATCTTTTACATCAAAGTAGCAGGAAAAGATTTTGTAAGTACTTCTTGTGTTTTGTGTTACATTTACATTTGTTATGAAAGAACTAATTTTCATTTATACTTAGGATACTTTGGGGGAATTTTTCTGTAGGCTAAATAGAATTTACTAAAAATCTTGAAGTGTAAAGCATGACCCCAAATTATTTCTAACTTCTGGAATTTTTATTTTTTTTATTTTGGTCTCAAGACATTTTATCAACCCTTGGACTTTGAGCATTTCAGTATAATGATAGATAATATGCTGTAGTTCTGCATCATTACTCAACATCAAGATTTTCCTAGTTTAACTGCTAGTAAAAAATAGGATTTAGTTGTCCCTCTAGAGCAGGGGTGGGGCACCTTTTTTCTGCCAAGGGCCATTTGAATATTTATAACATCATTCGCAGGCCATACACAATTATCAACTTAAAAGTTATGTTGCTATGGAAAAAGCTCCTAGATTGATTGAATTTCGAGTCCTGCCTGCAGTTGCCTTGGCAGGGCCAGACCAAATGATAAGGCTGGGCCTGCAGGCCAGATGTCCCTCACCCCTGCTGTAGAGTATACTGCTGGTTTTCTTTAATCCTCAGGAGTAGTGTTGTGATCCTGCTGTGCTTAAAAAACACAAATAGAGGTTTTAAAAAGATGATGATCAATAACTCTGACAAGACTAAAGGTGCTCATTAGAATCAGGAGTTGGCCCTGGCAGGTGTGTCTTAGTTGGTTGAGTGTCCTCCCATGCACCAAAAGGTTGCTGGATCCCCAATAGGGGACGTGCAGGAGACAGCCGATCTATGTTTCCCTCTTCCCTTCCTCTCTTTCTAAAATCAATAAAAACATATTTTAAAATAAACTTCAAAAAAAGAAAAGAATCAAGAGATATTACCAGTAATGCAACCCCAGCTACCTGTAAACTGAGCCATGTAATTTAAGGAAACAGATTTTTTTCAAACAAATATTAAAATGGCAATACCTATTCCATGTAGCTCTTTTAAAAATGTATAAGTAATCTCGCACTAACATATGTGCCTCCAACCCTGTGATTTTATTTGCATGTTGGGCAACAGACTCAAGCTCTAGTTAACTTGAGACCAAGCCTAAGAGCTGGGCCAGCACATCCCATGGAGCTCAGTACAGGTTGGAGAAAAAGTGTTGGCCTGGCAGTGTGGCCTTTTGCAGCAGTTCCATCACTCTCATGACCCAGTATTGGCAGGTACTGAGCATCTCACATTCATTTCATACTGGGCAGCATCTTTCTTTGCCTTGTTCTGAATGGTATTGATGTGGAGTCTAGCTAAATGTCTTCCCAAGTTTCTCATTTATACTGAGGTTCGAAAGGTGTTTATTTCTGCAAAGAAAAAAAAGGGCTAGTATTTTTCTTCCTCCAACATCACCTTTATATCTTCAGAAGAAAAATATCTTCGACTGAGTAAGGCACCCCTTAACTTCTAATAAGCACTATTCTCACCATTTTTTCTTCCTTTCAAACATCAGCTGCGGCTGACTACAGAACCTTTTCTCAGTTGAGTAGACTTTGTCCTTAGGAGAAGGGAGAAAAGGTTAAATGAAAGAGGGAAGCAGCAGGTTTTTGTCCCCTACCGGGACCAGAGAACAAGCAAACCAATGTTCATCGTCTAGTCTGTTTCGGTGCTTTTTCTTTTTCTCCCCATTTTCAATATTTCTTACCCAGCTTGTTTGCCCTCTCAACCATGGTGCACTCCAATTTTACATAAACCAGGACCTAGAACAGCCTGTTTAGATTCCAGTGCATTTGTAGGACTCTTGCTTTTTTATTGTGTTTCTTTACTTGAGCCTCAGTTCCTCATCTTGCTAATGTCCATGCTTTTCTTTATCAAAGTTGTTTTTAAAAAATATATGTTTTCCTTCATTTTACAGAGAGAGAATGACAGAGGGAGAGAGAGAGAAACATCAATATGAGAGAAAAACATTGATCAGCTACCTTCTGCACGCCCCCACTGGGGACCAAGCCCAAAACCTGGGCATCAAACTGGCAACTATTTGGTGCACGGGGTGATGCTCAACCAACTGAGCCACACCAGCTAGAGCTGTTTATCAAAATTTTTGATAAGTTAAGTTTTTATTCTTGAGAGACCCTGCCCTTACCCCCACTGCCTTTTAAACTGAGCATTTTAGAATAATTGTTTCTTGTCCTAGTCCTTCAGTTTTCCTGTATCATTAACCATCTGTTATTGAGCTATCAGAGGGAATGACCAAAAACTAGTACCAGCCCTAGCTGGTTTGGCTTAGTGGATAGAGCATCGGCCTAGGGCCTGAAGGGTCCCGGGTTCAATTCCAGTCAAGGGCATATGCCCAGATCGTGGGCTTGATCCCCAGTAGGGGGTGTGCAAAAGGCAGCCAATCAATTGTTGTCTCTCATCAATGATGTTTCTAGCTCTCTCTCCCTCTCTCCCTTTCTCTCTGAAATCAATAAAAAATATATTTAAAAAACAGTAACAACAAAAACTAGTACCATGTTGGCACATACCTCCCTCAAGGACAACCCCTTACCCTGCCCCCCACCATTAGGTACCAACACACGATTTAAAAAGAGTGTTAGCCTGGCCAGTGTGGCTCAGTGGTTAAGTGTCAACCCAGGAACCAAGAGGTTGCCAGTTGGATTCCTAGTCAGGACACATGCCTGGGTTGTGGGCTCGATCCCCAGTAGGGGTGCATGCAAGAAAGCACTGAAAGTCAAATGTCCAGGTTTCTTCTAAGAGCTGCTAAGTGAGAGGGTGGGATTTGGGCAGAGCTCTAAAATAAGGCTCTCTCCTATTACATATCCTCAATTATAATGTTAGTTTTTATTTTTGTCTTTGTGGAATCTACTAGTAAAACTATTTTAATCATGTTAATGTACAGCTACAACTTCATAAGAGAAGATTGGCATTTGCCTAAAGGAGATTTTGTGAAGATTTGATTGGTCTGAAAGAGAGGTTTAGTAGCTGATGGATTAGGTCATGGAGAGGGGGATTCTCTATTTTTTCTCTTTTTTAAAAGTATAATTTAAAAATAATGCATTCTCAGGTTACCTATGGAAACCTGAAGTATTCTCTTGCTGAAATTGAGCAATCTAATTCTCTATTGCTTAATTTATGTCATGTTATCATTTATTTTTAGGCACCAAAGGAAGAAATAAAGGAGAGTTTACAAATCTTCAAGGGGTAGCTGCATCTACAAGTGGGAAGATATTAATTGCAGACAGTAACAACCAGTGTGTGCAGGTATGGCCCCTGATTGTATACCTTTGACCCCTGGTGGTGATAAAATAGGTACAGTTGTATATTTTCCCTCTTAAGACTTGAGGTACTTGGTACCAGGGAAGATTATAATGTGTGCATAGACTTCCCTTCAAATGGAACTTGCAGGTTCTGACCTGCAGTGCAGATGACAGAGTTTCTGGCCTATTTCTTCGTCACTCATTTCTGTACGAATTCTCATTCTAATGACTGTAATTTGTTTTACAGATATTCTCCAATGATGGCCAGTTCAAAAGTCGTTTTGGCATACGAGGACGCTCCCCTGGGCAGCTGCAGCGGCCCACAGGGGTGGCTGTGCATCCCAGTGGGGACATCATTATTGCAGATTACGATAATAAATGGGTTAGCATTTTCTCTTCAGATGGGAAGTTCAAGGTAAGATTAACTACTGATTAACCACTAAACAGTAGAGAGAAGGAATGGGAAATATAAAATGAAATTGTCTTTTTTCCTTTCTGAGATCCAATAAAATATTCAATAGTTCTTCATATACAAAGACATCTTGACTGTTTCACATCTAAGTTTTATGAAGTGAGAGTAACAATGATATTGTCATAAATCTACTTCTATGTATCCTACATGTGGCTTCATTTTATAAAGCAGTTAGGTTACCCAGTCAATTTTTGTTTATATACTAGGTTTAAGGGTTAGTAAGAGGCAACTTATATTTTCAAAAATAACCTACACATTGTCATTGATGAAGTGCCTTCTACTTTCCCAGACCTGTGATAGGTAGATGTGAGAAACAGAATTATAAGACACAATCCCTACCTTTTAGAAATATACAAGCCCTATACACAAGAAAAAAAGACCAATACACAAGAAATGACCAAAAGAAAAATTCATGTCAGCCTTTATTTGGTCATACAATGTTTGGTACAATCTACAAATAGAGTGTTAAAGTATAGGATATAAGAACTGGAAAGAAAAGAAAATGAAGGCTGGCTTCATGGAGAAAATACAAATTGAGCTGCACTTTGAGGGGTCCCATCATTTGACATATCTGCTGTCACTCCCGGCATCATTTCTGTTTCTTGGGCAAGTCACCTTAAAGAGCTCTCTGTTGATAACTGAAATCTTTACCTTAAGGTGCCATCAAAGAGTATTATCCCATTTTCCGCACTGTTCCCAAGAAGATTATGAGACACTTTGTCAAAGGTGTTTTTGAAAGCCATCTCTACCCCCCAACCAGCCTACAAGCTTCTTTTTCAGTTGCCAATACGGACTTTAACTCAGACAGACCAACCCATTGGTATCCCACCTCTGGGGCTTAGTAACTATTTGGCCTTTGGCCAATTATGTAACTTCCTTGAGCCTTGATCGCCTCATACTTCCATTTTGCATTTGGGATTTGGGTATCGATTAAATGAGATTTTATTTCTGGATCTTATATGTGCCTCATATGAAATAGGCATCAAGGGAACGTTCGTCACTGATGCTTTTAGGAACCTTGTCCAAAACCTGAAGTCTGTTCAGTTAGCCATGATTTGGGTCTCATGGCCTCATGCCGGCTCCTGGGGGTCATCCCTTCCTCATCTAAATGTTCAGAGCTGATGCTCTTCATAATCGAGCTAGAATCCTGAAGATTGCACGATGTTCACCCATTGGTCTCCATTGGAGAAATTTCTATTTTCCTTTTTAAAGTTGTTAGATCACTACAGTCATAGCATTTTTATTAAATAGGTTACATAATTATTAATCTTCAGACTGGAGCCTCTATTTGTGTAGGGCAGCATCTTTGCAATCTAGGAAAATTAAAAGCTATTGTTTTAAGTCTACCATATTGCACACAAGTCTTCAATTGCCCTTGATTTTTTTTGCCCCACTAGTAATGTAATGGCTTTGTATGATGGCCATGTACACAGAAAGGTCTCTTGCCTTTCTATATCTCTAACTTCCCTCCTTTTGTGTTTTCATAATTGTATTTGTAGTATTCCATACCCAAACATGACAATAGAATAAAAGCTATTCAGTGACCTCTTGAAAATATCTGTCTAGTTTGGAGACAACCCATAGTTTTTGTTTCATACTCTAGCAAATCCATAAACTGTCTTTTTAAATTCAGGATTAAATACACTAAGACAGGTATTGAAATAGGAGTTTTATATCTATTATATTAGAATATTTTACATTTACTATATTAAAACATTGAAACAGAAGAGAGAAGGGTTTCCTGAATTAAACATTTTTTTTTACTCAGTGGTTGAATATTCTATATGTAATAGACACTCTCCTGGAAGAATTGGATTCTCATGGTTGGAATACTATTGATAATAATTAGAATAAACATTGAAGAACACTCATGCCCCCTAGAGGATTTGGGAATGGACATGGTGTCGTTTCAACATACCATCCCCAACCCCTTTTGTTTATGATAGATCTAAAACATCTTGACTTACTATTCTGTTTAAGATGGGAGACACATTGTCAGGTCAAATGCTATAATTCTTATTTCACTTGGTAGAATCTAATACAGCTAAACTAGGATTGAAGGGAAGTGGAAGGAAAAGAGGTTTTGGTTCAACATTTAAGTTTTCTCTTTTAGATCTACACTAACTAGTTCTTAACTACATGATAGTATGGCAGTAATCCTTTACTTTCTGTTTTTAAGCTACAAAATTATCATCCACTTGGAATTATTATATGCCTGGGTCATTCTAAGTAACAACTAGTGTTCATAATGTTAGGTATTAATAATATTCTTGTTTTAATACTCAGAGTCTTCTCCCTTTTGATCTCTACTGACATATCTTCTATTCATACATGAAAGAAAGTACACAATTTCTTTGTAAGCTATTTTGTTATAGCACAGCAGTTCTCAACCTGTGGGTTGCGACCCCTTTGGGGGTCAAACAACCCTTTCACAAGGGTCGCCTAAGACCATCGGAAAACACATATATAATTACATATTGTTTTTGTGATTAATCACTATGCTTTAATTATGTTCAATTTGTAACAATGAAAATACATCCTGCATATCAGATATTTACATTACGATTCATAACAGTAGCAAAATTACAGTTATGAAGTAGCAACGAAAATAATTTGATGGTTGGGGGTCACCACAACATGAGGAACTGTATTAAAGGGTCGCGGCATTAGGAAGGTTGAGAACCACTGTTATAGTGTCTTTGATCTTTGGGCTAGATGCAGAATCAGAATCAAATTTATACGACATTCCCTTGCCAGAATGCCATTGTTTCCTTCCTAAGTAAATGCATGTCTTTTTTCTAAAGAGATCAGTTCTGAATCTCAGTCATTTATAAACTTCCAAGGATTAAAGGTTATACAAAGTCTGAACCCCTGCTATGGGAAAGTCCCAATCCTTCTTTTCATACTCTGTTTTTTGCCCATATCTTCATGTCTGTTAGGAAAGAAGATAACCCTGTGGGTCAGCTATGATACCAGCTGAGTAGGAAGAGGGAGAAGATTATCCTTATGCCATATGCTGTGGTTGACATTGTCCTTTATCCTTCAGAATCTGCATGACCCAGGAAGTAGATAACATAGTTGCCATTTTACAGATGAGAAAATTGAGGTTCAAACTGATGAAAGAATGAATGAATTTTGCTGTGAAATTTTGGTCCTGGTTAACTGGATGAACTGTGGTGTCAAAGGAATTAGAAAATCAGGAAGTGCTAGATTGGGGTTTCTTTTCATTTTTTTTTTTAATGGTGGAAATGAAGAAGATAAGTTTGGTTTTACATTGGTTGAGTTTAAGGTGAAACTTGTAAAATAGGCCAAACCGGCCAGGGTGTCACACTCCCTTTTTAGAAGGGAACTGTGACCCCCAGTTAAGGCGATTCCAGAATGTTTTTGGTGGTGATCCCTTTTGAAAAACAAGGATTTCAAATAAATATCAATAGCAGATAATAGATGTGACAAAGGCAACTTTCCAGGACAGAGATCATTGTGACATGAGTCACTGGGTCCGCTGCCTGAACATTCAGGTGAAGTTTTACTAAGAAAAATGTCTGCCTTTGTGTTCACTATAGTGTTTTAATCTTCTCTGCTGTACTTGCTTCTCACAGACAAAAATCGGATCGGGAAAGCTGATGGGACCCAAAGGGGTGTCTGTGGACCGCAACGGGCACATCATCGTGGTGGATAACAAGGCGTGCTGCGTGTTTATCTTCCAGCCAAACGGGAAGATAGTCACCAGGTTTGGTAGCCGAGGAAATGGGGACAGGCAGTTTGCAGGTACACTTGACGGTAATATGTAAACCCCCTTTTTTATGCCGCTTCTGCTCACATTTGCATGATGTCGGAGCATGTTGAAGACACCTCACCCCCAGTATGTTTTCTGGCTTTTGGAAAGATACTGGGGATGAAATCTAAGCAAAAAGCATGGTTCGGTGCTTCTCACTGATGCCCCCCACAGTAAGTTGAACTGTCATCCATGCGTGGTTTTGATTGGTGGCACTTCACAATTCAGAAGTCTAATTGTCGACTGTTAGTAGTAAATAAAATATATATTTTACAATAAAATATTTTTAAATAAGAATGTATTTAGGAACAGTGGAGTCACTCCTGTCTCCACCTAGCTGTAGCTTTATTTAAAGAGCCTCAGAATGAGAATTTTTCCATCTTGTTAAAAGGTGATGATGACAGAGCAGGTGTCCAGAGCATTTGCCTCGTATGGGAACGGCAGTCTCATTAATTTCTCTCTGGTTCACCACTTTGCAGGCACAAGCTTACTTAGTTTTTCATATCTGCGAGAAGAGGCTGAAAGCAGTTTGCTAAATTTCCTTCTTGCAAGGATGTTTTTGGCGCCTAACCTTAATTTGCATAATCTTTCTTTGTGCTTTGTCTCCAGTTCTGCCAGATTCTGAATGTCACCCAAAATTATAGAATGTGGGTTTTCTGCTCTACTTTATAAAAAATCTTATATGTTGGAGTCTTTTTTTCTCCAAGCTGAGAGTTACCATGCCTTTCCTCAGCGGGAATAGAAGACCCTAAAATGACTAACACGTGCTTAGGCAAGCTGGCAGCTGTGACATTCACATGGTGGTTCGGAGAATGAATTCTGATGCTTATGCTCATCCCTTCTCATTAGGGCTGCCGAACTCTTAGCTGGATCTGGAAGGAGTCAGAGTAGACAGTCACAGGTGTAGAGTGATAGAGATTCCATGTTATCTGGAGCCAGAAGTCTGGCTGAATGATCTTTCAAGGACTGAGGCTCACCGTCTTTGTTCTTTCTTAAGTAACTAAGTAATATATTGTTTCACAACTGCTATGTTGTCATAATCATTTTTTGTTGTTATGGTCATCTCATATTTTTTTCATCTTTATTGCAGGTCCCCATTTTGCAGCTGTAAATAGCAATAATGAAATTATTGTTACAGATTTCCATAACCATTCTGTCAAGGTACTATAAACACATGAATTGTTGTTACCTTTTAACTGCTTTGATTGAGAAATCCGTCTGGGAGAAAATAATGTAATGCTCACATATGTACATAGGACACAAATGGGGTTAACCTAAAAGAGCAGATTTTTGCTTCTCCTTAAAGATGCAGGTTTTAATTTGGACATCTACACTTTGGAGAGACAGAAAATTGAACAAAATGTGGTGGCAATAAGTTTCTTAATTTGAAATTATGTACATGGAGACAACTTGGAAATTAAATTTGAAAAAGCAATTGCTTGAACTTCAAGAGGCAGAACTTTCTGAAACTTAATATTTCATGGCTACTCAATAATTAAAACAAAACCACTTTTTCTATTTTCTGCATCATAAGGCCTTTCAAACAAAATTAGATATTAGAACTCTGCCACAACAAAAGATTTTGGGAGGGAAATAGCCTTAGCGTACATTCATATAGCATGTTTCATGCTTCTTAGAATGCTTTCACACAACTGATGTTCCAAAGAAAACATTGCCCACTCCTGTTCCCCAAATAGTATAGTACATCTTTCTTCTTCTTTTTTTTAAAAAAATATTTTTTTGTTGATATCAGAGAGGAAGGGAGAGGGAGAAAGAGATAGAAACATCAATGATGAGAGTGTATCACTGATTGGCTGCTTCCTGCACGCCACCCACTGGGAACTGAGCCTACAACCTGGGCATGTACCCTGACTGGTCCACACTCAACCACTGAGCCACACTGGTCAGTCGGGCCTGGTCTCTCTCTTTTTTTTCTTTTCTCTTTCATAGCCGTTGCCATGTAGCTTTTATGGATAGCTGGAGTTTTTTGTTTGTTTCCCATATAGCACAGAGCAGTTAGCAATAGTTCTGGATTCAGGTCACATCTCTTGATAAATGTAAAAATTATACCTATAGGTCAGGGCTAACAAGGGGTCTGGTTCATTCTTTACCTGTCTTCATTATATATTTTCTTTTGGTGGCAAAACAAGTAAGACTAGATTTGGCATTCTCCATCATTCCAAGACAAAGCAGAAGTACCTGAGCCATTTGGAATACGCCAAGGAAAACATTCTGACTCAGAGATGATGCAAACAGGCCAACAAAAGGTTATTTGTAGGACCTAAGAGAGAGCAGAGAATAATAAGTTGCATTCTTATGAGCACACTAACACTTCCATTGGTCTTTAAAGCTGGAATGCTTTATGTGAAAGGAGATAAAAAGAGTCAGGAGAGACTTTTAAAACATGGTTTCTTAGTAAAAGCTAGTTCTTGTCTGTGTCCTTTTCAAAGAACCAAAGAGGTAACTTGCTTACTTGGCAAGCAATTAATTCAGGAAGTGGTCAAGACTTTTTTTTCAAATCTTAAAGTAAGTTTAGACTTTAGAGTTGGAAGTATCTCACTTTCTCAAGGTAGGTACGTAAAAGAGAGCCATTTCCTGGTCACAGAGATGGCGAAAGGAGAATCTCTAAGAGGTCCTGAGATCTTCCTCAAATTAGATCTGCACTTAGATATAGTGAACTTCCTCAGTTTCATATTTCAGGAACCCTTACTCTCTTGGTGCCTTGGGGGTAATACCTTTGGATTATTAATGAGTATTTCCACACTGGTAGACTGCATAATAATGAAAGCTTAAAATAATATCCTTGCCTCAGCAGTTGAGCATTGCCCTAGGAACCAGGAGGTCATGGTTCGATTCCTGGTCAGGGCACATGCCCCGGTTTCAGGCTCAATCCCCAGTAGGGGGCATGCAGGAGGCAGCCGATTCATGATTCTCTCTCATCATTGATGTTTCTCTCTCTCCTTTCCTCTCTGATATCAATAAAGACATATATTTTTTAAAAAATAATAATAATATCCTGGAGACATTTCAAAACCATTAAGTATCTTCTGAATCATCAAGATAAAATTATGCTTACAATAGTTTTATCATTAAACACATATTCTCTCAAAATCAGTAATCTTTATTTGATACTTATACAGTCACACTCTAGTAATAAGAATGTTTAATTAACCACAACAACCCATTGCTTGCCCATATCAAATGAGAGAATTTGCTTAAGAGTTCTGTTTAGTTCCCAATTCTGTCAGCCTCCCTTCTCTCAGTAGTCTCAGGGTCATATAAACTCTCTATTTTAGATAAAATATATTCTGAAAAAAATATATTAAAAAGCCCTTTTTTATTTCTCACCTTCTGCTCGCTCTCTCTCCCTCTCTCTCTCTCCCTCACACACACACACACTCACTCACTCTCACACAATTTTCCCTGTTATAATTGTGAAATCCAGCCTATTCTTTCTTGTTACGTTGACTTAGTAAAATGGTAATAAATTCTGAGCATCTGGCCTAACAAAAAGCTCCTACTTTCTGACCCAACTTTGAATCATCATCTATCCTGTTAGAAATACAATGCTTATTCTTAAAATGTAGCTTTTTGTTTAAAGGCAGAAAGAATAATATTGTTGAAAATTATAGCTCTACTTTCTCATACTACCTTATATTTGTATATATTTTATAGTTTATAATGGAAGTATTTTTCACATAAGTATTCAATAACCAGATAAAAGCTAGAAAAAAAGAACTGATTTAACAAATGATAAATCAGATTTATACAGTAAATTGGGAACCCACAAGTGCAGTGGGAGTCTAGTTTGTAGATTTTTTTTAAAAGAATGTCTTAAATTATAGGTCTTGTTATAAATAACCTGCTCAGATAGATATTTTAAAATCCATAATGTTGGCTCAACTATTTTCATTTGAAATGAAATAATTTTAAAATATTTATACAGGTGTTTAATCAAGAAGGAGAATTCATGTTGAAGTTTGGTTCAAATGGAGAAGGAAATGGACAGTTTAATGCTCCAACGGGGGTAGCTGTGGATTCAAATGGAAACATCATTGTAGCCGACTGGGGAAACAGCAGGATCCAGGTAGATTAAAGTGCTGACTTATTTGTGTTGAGTGATTGGTATTTGTTAAAAGTGGAGGATTAACTGTCCCCAGACCTCAGTGTTTTTCACTCTCATTGGTTAGGTCATGAGACCATAGATAATCTCACAAGACTAAGGAAGGTGGAGATGAAAAATGCCAACATATTACCAGAGTGAAACCCTCTAAATCAGGTGTTTTTAACACGTATCCCACAGACCCCCAAAGAGTTTGTGGATAGAATTCTACACATGAGGTCCTTTGAACAAAAATATTATATTATTGTTTTTACTAACTTCTAATTAAAAATTATCATTTACTTTCATTATGAATATAGGCAATAATCACAGTAGTTTTTGTAATATCTATAACTTTGTCACCAAGAGAAATCACAGAAATGTTCTTGTTACAGTTGCAGACATCTCGAATTATCATTTATGCTCATTCAAAATTGTAGTTATTAGTAGGCCCATCACTATTTCTTGTTATTTAATGTATTAGTTTAAAAAGCACACATATTACTATAATTAAAATTTTGTAATATTTTTATTATATCTTAATATGATTGTTTTCCTTCATAATACCACATATTTTCTTTAATGTTTTGCTAAATAACCTGAGCCAAAGAGGAAATCTGAAGGAAAAATTTAAAATATATTGACTGAATGAAAATGCAAATATAGCATATCATATTTTGTGGCATGCAGCTAAAACAGTGCTGAAAGGGAAATTTCCCCCAAGCTTTGTGGAGATTGACATATAACATTGTGTTAGTTAGTGTACAATTGTTGATTTAATACTCCTATATATTGTTTAATGATTGCCACCATAGCATTACATGACATGATCATGTCACAGTCACATTGCTATCGGAGAAGTACATGAATGGGATTCCTCCATTGCTGGTGGGGTTCTTGGGGCGCCGCTGAAATGAGCGCTTTCAGAATTCCCCGTGGGAGAATGAGGTAGAAGACTTTATTTGTTTAGAGAAATATTTCTCAGTTTCCAATGTCCTATTTCCCTTAAACCAGTCCTAAAAGAGGAGCAGCTGTGGGTTCAGCAAAGCATGTCCAGAGCTTCCTTTCCATGTTGCAGCCGGGTCCAGTTCAACATTCAGGCTAATTAAAGTCCATTAGGCCATTCTGTGGATGAACGCAGGGGAACACGCCCCCTACAACAGGGGTCAGGTGCAAGCAGCAAGGGAGAGGCCAAGAGCCAAAAGGCGAGAACTCTCTTTGTTCAGAAGTTTAAATATTCAGTTTCGAGCCCTTGCAGTGGCCATGCCTATTCTGGCCAATTACTTGTTCCCAGGATGATTGACAGACAGGTAAGCACCTTCCCATGTCACTCAGACCTTATTGGGCAAGTGTCTAAACTGCCTTTGTCCAGTCCCTTTCCCCAGCGATCACCTGGGAACACTCACTTGCAGAGTCTTAAATGAGCAAAGCTGTATAAATGGAATGCTATATTATCTCGTCCTCCCTTTACTCCTTTCCTGTTACTAACAGCCAGGTTATTACAACAGTATCAACATCATTACCATTTCTTTTTTGTGGTGAGAACATTTAGGTCTACTCTCTTGGCAGCTTTCAAGTGCATAACACAGTATTGACTGTTATCACCGTCCTGTGCATTAGATCCCCAGAACTTACTCATCTTCTAACTGGAAGTTTGTACCCTTTGACCAACTTCTCCCCATTTCCCTCACCCCCCAGCCCTGGAAGCCACCACTCTGTCTGAGAGGGAAATTAATAGCACTAAATGCTTTCATTAGCAAAGAGGAAAAGTTGAACAATAATCTAAGCGCCCACCTCAAGAAGCTAGAGAGAGAGCAAAGCAAACTGAAAGCAAGCAGAAGGAAGGCAACAGTGAAGATAAGATCAAATTGATGAAATTCAAGATAGAAAAACAATAAAGTTGGTTCTTTGGGAAGATCAATAGAATTGACAAGCCTCTAGCAAGACTGACAAAGAAAGGGAGAAAAGAGACAAACTACTATCATATAGACTCTGCAGACTTCAAAGGGATAGTAAGGAAATTCTAAGAACAACTCCACACGCATCAATTTGACAACTTAGATGAAGTGGACCAACTCCTCAAAAAGGACAAACTCCACAACTCACCCAATATAAAATAAATGATTTGAATAGCCCTACAATGATTAAGGAAATTTAGCTCATAATTTTAAAACTCCCCCAAAATAAACCTCCAAACTCAGATGGTTTCACTTGAGAATGCTACCAAATATTTGAAGAAGGTTTAGCATCAGTTCTACACAATTTCTTCCAGAAAATAGACAACATAGGAACACTTTACAATTCACTTTTCAGCTTAGCTTCTCATGCCCTGATCCCAAAACCAGGCTAAGACAGCACAAAAAAGAAAACTACAGACCACATTCCTCATGAATATAGATGCAAAAATACTTAACAAAATATTATCAAATAGATTTCAGCCATAAATAAAAATCTCTCACCCTAGCTGGTTTGGCTCCGCAGATAGAGCAACGGCCTCCAGACTGAAAGGTCCTCGGTTCAATTCCAGTTAAGGGCACATGCCCGGGTTGTGAGCTCGATCCCCAGTAGGGGGTGTGCAGGAGGCAACCGATCAATGATTCTCTCTCATCATTGATGTTTCTATCTCTCCCTCTCCCTTCCTCTCTGAAATAAATTAACACATAATAAATTAATTAATTTTTAAAAAAACAAGTGTCATAAAAAAAATCTCTCCATGACTAAGTGGTGTTTATTCCAAGGGTGTATGACTCTTTCAGTATTTGAAAATCCATAAAAGAAAAGAAAAATAAATTGGACTTCATCAAAATTAAAAACTTTTGCCCTCTGAAAGATTCTGTTAACAGGATAAAAACATAAGCAATAGACTAGAAGAAAATATTTATAAATTTCATATATGACAAAGGATTTATACCTAGAATATATGTATAAAGATTCTCAGAATTTAACAGTAAAGGAACCAAATAATCCCACTAGAAAATGGGCAAAAGACATGGAGAGAAATTTCACTGAAGAGGACATACCCATGAAAAGATGTTCCATATCACTAGACATGAAGGAGTGCAAATTAAGACATGATGAGATATTACTACACATATTTTAGATAGCTAAAATTAAAAATATTGACAATGCCTAATGCTGGCAAGTATGCAGAGAAACTAGATCTCTTCGACATTGCTAGTAGGAATGTATAATGCCAGGCAGTCTTTAAAATCGTTTGACAGTTTCTTTAAAATATTGAAAATACATTTATCATACAACCCAGCAGTTGCATCCCTGGGTATTTATCCCAGAAAAATGAGAATGCATGTCCATACAAAGATGTGTACATTGTCATTCATAGAAACTTGGGTATAGTCCAAAACTGAAAATAACCAAGATGTTTGTTGACAGGTTAATGGCTAAACATACTGGTATGTCCATACTATGGAATATTACTCAGCAGTAAAAAGGAAGAGACTAATGATGTGCTCAACTGCTTAGATGCATCTCAGGGGCATCGTGCTGAGTGGAAAAAGCCACTGTCAAAAGATCACATACTGTATGATTCCATTTCTGTAACCTTCTTGAAATGTTAAAATCACAGAGAAGGAAGGCAGATTAGTGGTTGACAAGAGTTAGAGGTGGTGGGCGAAGGGAAGTATGTGGGACTATAAAGAGGCAGCATGAGGGAGATCTTTGTGAGGATGGAATAGTTCTGTGTGATGATTGTGGTGGTGGTTATATGAATCTATAATTTTGATAAAATGATATACAACTATACACATACATCCCAATGTCAGTTTGCTGGGTTTGCCATTGGGGGAAATTGGGGGAAGGGTACACAGGCTCCCTCTTGACTATCTTGGTGGCTTTCTGTGCATCTATAATTATTTCAAAATTAGAAGTTAGCAAAAACAAATTTAAAAGAAGAAGAATTTAAATATATTTTCATGATTTCAAAATAAAAAGAAGAATTTAAATATATTTTCATGATTTCAGAATAATAATATCATGAATGGCATTTGGCACTTTGGGTATAAAAAATAATAAAACTGCTTACATTCTGGAAAAAAATAACACTAAAACACTATTTTGAGACTGTACAGTCTATGTCAGACTGCCAAAAGGGGTCCATGATACAAAAAAAATTTTTTTTGACTTTTTTCTAAATTAAGAATAAAGCTGTTAAATTCTCAAACTGAAGAAGACTTCTTTTCTTCGTGTAGACACCTGCATGGATCTAAACATGCATTTACAGACGGGGCTATTCATCTTTGCCAATGTGGCCCTGTGCAATGCACGTGAGAACCCAGAGTGCACTGGTTAAACCTAGTAGCACTCAGATGCCTCTGAGGACAGCAATGGTCAGCAATTTAAATCTGTTATATGAATCTACTTCTCAGAAAAAGGGTTGAGACTATAAATGTAACACTAAATACTTTCATTTCTGAAATATATTTGTTCTGCTTAATTATCCCAGTGGGCATCTACATTTGAAAGAGGCCTTCTATGTCTGATGGTAAGCCAGAAACCAACAGGGAACCAAGTCACAAAGCACTTCTGTGTAGGACCACATATGATGAGCTGTGTTGTGACCCTCGTAGCACCTGCCTGGTTACACTGCCTTTCGGAACATCTGATGGGCCAAACACAATGGCCCAAAGACACCAGACTGGGCCTTGCAAAGAAGTGTTCCTGATCCTTTTATGTCATCATAGCAGAAGCTTACAGAACAAAAGACCACCTCCTATCCAAATGTACATGTTGAACCATGTACATGTTGATTTATTATAATTTACTCCTTTCTGAAAAGAAAAAGAATAATCTCTATTTCTCATCACATATTATGACTCAGGACCATTCTTATGTGATCGAGTGGCTTATTTTTCTCACTTATGATTGTGGATAAAAGAGGGATGTAAGGCTAGAAGGGGGAAATGTGAGGGTTTGAGTGAGAAATAAGACTGATTCATTTTTTAAGCACCATCCAGGGCAGTGGTCGCCAACCTTTGGACCTCACGGACCACCAGTGGTCCACGGACCACCGGTTGGCGACCGCTGATCCAGGGCATTCCCCTCCAATCTGTAAGAACATAAGTATGATCTGGTGACCAATGGCATGTTCTTTGTCAGTGACTCTCAGTGTGAGGAGAAAAAGCAAGGTAAGTGGAGGGAGGGGAGGTATTGTATATTTGATAGCGACCTAAACAAACCTAGATACACATGCTTTTACAAACATTAGTAAACTCCTATTTCTCAACGTATTATTATAACTTTTCCTGTAACACTCTGTCCTTTTTTGACAGGTTTTTGATGGAAGTGGATCATTTCTGTCCTACATTAACACATCCGCTGACCCACTCTATGGTCCCCAAGGCCTGGCCCTGACTTCAGATGGCCATGTTGTGGTTGCAGACTCTGGGAACCACTGTTTCAAGGTCTACCGGTACTTACAGTAACGGCGGGCAGCTGGACGGCCCCTGGCAAAGGTCTTGCACTATAAACTGGAATGGATTTCTCGCCGCGGGACCAGATTATACTAGACTTTTCATGCTAGAAGGAATCATTGGTGAATTTTCCAAGGTTATTTCTGAATGTAACAATTTACTTAAAAACTGCATATTTGATTTCTGTAATTGACCTTTAGGGTTAAAAAGAATCTATAAAAACCGCAAAGTTTTACACCTGTGAACTATGGCTTATAGGACAGGGATGTATGTAGTTAAACCAATTGTGCAAATCAAATAAGCGTTAAAAAAAAATACCTGGGAGATTTAAAGGTATTTGTTAAGCCTGTGAACGGTAGCCTTTGCGCAGAGCTTCCAAAAACAAAACAGAACAAAACAAACAAAATCTGTTGTAGTTATATACTTTAACCTCGGTCACAAGACCTGGGGAATCTTCTAACCTCACTTTTACACTTGGTATTACTCTTGTGACTTTTTTGGCTATCAGTAACTACATATAAATTACTTTAGAGAAAAAAAATAAGACCGTCTTGCAAAAATCCTCTCATCTGTGATTACCAGGCCTCTGAGTTGAGCACTTAAAAATAAATGCGAACTTTCTATCCTTCCTGGGTTAGATCAAAGATCCATTTTTGGGTTCTTTTCACCTTCTCTCTCCTAGTCACCTTGTATTGAAAAACAAAGTACATTTTTTTCAGGGAAACCTGAAACTCCTAATGCTTTGAAAAGCATATTCTAATAGTAATGCTACCTGTTGGTAAACCAACAGCCCAACTCCAGATCAATGCACTGGATGTAATCAAGAAAAAGTTAGTCATGTTTTATGTGCCATGTTCTCACATGTGTCTCTCCTCTTCCACTTCATGAAAGCGAAAGCTTTACCTCCTGCAAAATGTCAGCACATGTAGTAGGACACCAGTATCCTAGGACAGAGAGCCATAAGTAGCCCCTCGGAGGACGGATGGTGTCAGCCAAAGGCATGTGACTGAGTAATGGTTTCCCCTTAGAAAGCAAGTGTTACCAAAGTTGTGAAAGCGTTACAGGTAAGGGCATGTTATGGTTATTTATCATTGTCTAATGAATAGTAGAGGCATTAAAGGACTATGTATACATGATTAGGGTAAGGTAGAATGTATCATATATATCTATATAGATAGCTGAATCTTTGGTGTATTGAAATAGGCAGCCCTCTGAAAGACAGAAGCAGCGTCCAGCCTTTCTTCAGCACATTCCTTTTACGGAGCAGCTTCAAGCCGTCCTGTCCTAGTAGAACAAGCCCTAAAGCAGATTTAATCTTTGTCATTTTCCAGGAATGATGGTATCGGCTGACGTTACATCACAAAATGACCTTCTGGTCTTTCAAAAAAAACAAAAACAGGTCAAAAGAGAAAAGTTAAACTTGAATTACATTTAAACGAAGTATAAATGCATTTTGAGAAAAAGTAAGAATAATTTAGCTGGTTATTAATCTGTCATTGGTACTGTAAAATAAGATGTGGTTTATTTTCACTGTTTAATTTTCTACTCAGTTCTACCAAATAGGATGTCATGTTTGGCATTTTCGTTAATGACTTTGGGATCTTTTTCACTGAAAGCACCTTAGAACTGTACTATAAGAAAACATTTCCCATATGTATAATTATATGAATGTGATGTTTATTGCTTTTTAATTTATAATTCAGCCCCTCTCTTATATAGGAATTTTTTTAATTTAGAAGGGAAATCTAGCTACTTCCAATTGTCTATCAAATTTATGCCCAAATCAACCTCTGAAAAAAATTTTTTTCAGAAAGATTTACATTTAGATTTAGTACATCTTTAGTTAGGTAGAGTTTTCAAAATATTGAGGTTGTGATAAAATTATAAAATTTAGTAACATTTTTAGAATGTTAAGACACTGTTTCCTAACATGAGTTGAAATAAGTCTTTGAATTTAAATATTCATATTTAATGAGTGCCTACTAGAAGCCAGGCTGTTCTTGGCACTGGGGACTTAGTGATGGAGGAAACAGGCAAAATTCCTGCCCCCTTGGAACTTACACTCTAAGGAGGGAATTTCATTTTGCTCTTTATTAATATTCTGCATAAAAGATAAGCTAGACTTCTGATAGCTCCTAGACTATTTAAAAGAAACCTTTTAAAAATTGGTTAAATTCATTTTAGTTTATTTCCACAAGTAAAAAATGGCTTCCTATTTAGATTCTGTCACAGGCTATTGATATTAAGACTAGTTTACTTAAAGATTGGTTTGTTTTGGGTTTTTTTGTACAACATTTAAATTATATGTGTGAATTTAGAAATTGAGCAACTATCATACAGTATAATGCTGGATATCTCAATTAGTAGATTGAAGACAAAGCTATTTTTTTTTTTTTACATATGACTATTGGCACAAACTGGAATGGAAGAAAAGGTACTTTGATTCAGACCTGTTTATCTGTTACTAAAACACATGCACTCCAGGAAACACTATATTCCCCCCCCCCCCAAAAAAAATATGTAATCCTATATGTTAAAATATAAATAACATTTCATATTTGGATACATATGTGCATTTACTGTATTTCTTGGTAAGCATATTTTAGGGGGCAAAGTGCTGCTAAGATACAAATAGACAAGATTTAAGTGAAATTTTGTCACATTCTGTGGAAAATGGTTTCTGGTAAACTGAGAAGGAAATTTAAAAGTTAAGTGACTTTCTTCTGGGCTACCATTATTGCTTGATTTCTCTTTGTCAAGTGTACAGAACCTGTCATACATTCATGATAAGTAGCACTGAAAAATTATCCCTTCAAATTTCCCCTGGGCACTATGGTCAAATATTGCCAGTTAGAATGTAAAGGTCAGTGACAATGCATTTCTTCCCAATACAGACCTCCCCTGCTGGACATGGGTGGTAAAGATCACTTGACCATTCAGAAACACATGAATAAAAAGCCTTTATGACTTTGCCATTTCTTAGTGGTACTTAGTATTTTGCTCAAACGTTCATCTCCAGTAACGAAACAAGTCCCCAAGTTTCCTTATTTTCATTTATCCCTTGACTAGATTTGAGGCAAATAAATACTACAGGTCCATGAAACTAGAACACACTTGCTTCTACTACTAAATATACAGGGTATGTCCTAACATGGAATTAACTGGAATAGCAGTACACTAGCAAGTGACTGTGGATCCTTAACATTAAGGGGTTCACACAAACGCTTTGGCAGTGCCTACTGAGTTAATTGGAGGGAATGCCAAATACACGTCAGGTCATCTGTAGATTGCTTCAAATGGGAAAAACCTTTTTGTACATTTGGACTCTACAGTATCCTCTCTATTCACCAGCTCGTGAAAAGGAAGGAGTATTTTTAGTTTAACAATTTTTAAAAAGACCTTTCCAGGTAGGGTAAAACTAAAGCTATTTGCTGCAAACATGATCTAAGTTGTAATACTGTTGCATTCTCTAAACGTTGCAGGGTTTTAAAATTTACAATTACTTTAATATTTTTGATAACTAGGAATCTAGTATTGCCATAAAGGAACTAAGTGCCCATTAAAGATTTGTTTGGTATAAATAAATAATTTTTTTGTTTTGTTTTAAATGACAGTAAGCTACAAATCATGGTGTTAACCTTAAACTTTCCCAAGATGAATTGTGTGGCAGTGATCGTGTGGTTGGTTTGTGGAGAACGTATGAAAGCTATTAATATTGTAAAACCGATTGATAAATTGGCTATGTTGTTCCAATGAATGTACAGCATTTCCATTAACCTTTGAAAGCAGCACAGCCTTAAACGCAATGCTTTTGCTTTGTGACTCGGAATGTTTTGTCATTAACAAGAGTGTATTCTTGTAATATAATTCTTTATATCGTTCTCAAGTCTGGCCTTTCAATCCTATGTATGAGTAAACAGATTTTTTTGCTTCCTTTTTTTTCGTTTTAAATTTTGTACATTCCATCTGTATAGGTCTGTTTCATACGTTCTGTGTATAGAACACTGAGCCTCCTGCTCTCTGATGTTGATTCTGTTTGATGTATGCTCATTTGTTCTTTTATGAATCAAAATGCTGACTGCCTATTTAAAGAAAAGAATAAACGCTGTGCATCGGAGTGTTTGTATGTTCGTAGCTGCATACGTACCACAGTATTTTGGATGCTTTTAGTGTACAATAAAACTTTAATTCTGTCTTGAAACATAGGAGAAACAAGATTCATGCGTATTATCTTTACCATGCACAAAAAAAATCTCAAATCATTATAATAAAGCTTGTTTTCTCCGTTTCGAGGGTGAATGTTTGCTTATTTAACATAGTCTGTTTTCTAAGGTAGGGCAGCGAAGGGATGTTCTAGAATTTGTGGAAGGTAGCCATCCCGCCACCGAACACCTGATACTAGTCTAGTGAGAAGGTCCCGCCCCAGCCCGGCCGCCAGGGGTCGCTGCGCGCCTTCGGGGCGAAGGCCGGT